TGCCACGGCGGGTCAGCCTTGACCCTTCCGTTACTGATGATGATGATGATGGTATATCGATAAAAATATTTATGGATACATGCCGCTCTCGAGTTATGAGGGAAGGTGCATTCATTCAAATGAGAAGGAACACGATGATTTAATCAGCTGTGTTCCAATGCATTTATCTATCACTTTGCTACATTCACAGGCACGCAAATAATAGGGGGGCGTGGGGGGCGTGACGCCCCCCCAAAGTTTGGAAAATCCAGTTACAGTTGGAAAACATAACGGTTGACTTGGAATTTTATCTTAGGACCAAACTTGTGAATTTTATATTTTAAGAAGTTTTTTTATTTTAAATGTAAAAATTCTAAACATTAAAATTCACAGGCTGAAGCTGACCCGTCTCCACTGGATCCAAATTGCACAATTGCCCTGTTTGCTTTCTTTCTGACGGGAGTTGAATCAAATTACGAGCAGGCAAGGTGAATTTCCGGATAAGAAACTTGAAACTTTACAGTTTGGAATAATAATTCCCGTATTGATCAGAAAGTATTAGAGTGGGAGTTTTTTAAGAAACTACGAGTAGTTAATTCAATAAAAGATTAATAATTTTTCAGTACTAAAAATTCTTAACGCTTCTTATAAAAACGAGTTTATGCTAAACTCCCCCTGTTATTTGTTAACGCCCTTGACTCCTTATCATAAATTCCTATGACAAAACTGCTGTAAAGCAAGAACACATTGCAAAAACTGCAGTAGAAGTATTTGATCAAAGAAGAGTGTTTTATCTTTCGGATCAGGCATATGCACAAGTTTGTTCTCAAATCATCATTTCAATTGTAAAGAATGAAAAGGAATTTGGCCCTCTGAAAATTGTTAGTAGTTTTATTCGATCAAGAACAAAAATTAAAGGCTCAAGTTCTTGGTGCTTCTATATCGTGAAAAAATGTATTTTAGATAAGATTGATTTGCGTCAATTGATTAATTGATCTGAAAGAATACTACTAATCATTAAGTATATCTAATACTGGTTTTGCTTAAATGTTGCTTTACTTCTTACTGTAAGTTAAAATGTCTGTTTCATGTTGATCAAAATTTAGAGATTTAGGCTTTTATGCTTTAGGCTAATTATTGAGTAAAGTTTTGGTAATTATAAAGAAAATAGAACTATGGTGTTCGGGCTATTTACAAATATCAATTTAGTAGGTACAGTAGATTTACTGGTCAAATGAAAAATTTCTTACTTAGATTGGAATTTTCATCCTTCCACGCCCCCCCCCCAAAATTAGCAACTTGTTTTCGTCCCTGTACATTCAGATCTGCAATGGTGTCAGAAAAGGCAAGCGTTCCTAGTAAACTAATATATTCAATTTTTGAAGATAGCGCGGAAGATCGGAATGGTAGAATACTAAAGCCTGATTCATACCAGGTGAATTTTTCGCGCGAAGCGAATAATATGCGCAGAAGTAGAGATTAAAAAATTCTCTGCGATTTCGCAGTGAACAATTCGTTTCAAAAAAGTGAAAAACATTCCTACTTTTTCGCTGTGAAATTTTTCGAGTTGCGAAATAAGCCAATCAGAATAAGACACCTGACCTTTTTTTTTTGGTTCCTGATCGCTTTACTTACGGTTTTCCGCATTCTTTTTCTCAAACACCCTCAACCATACAATGTCAATGAAAGAGGTTGGTCATTGTTCTTTCCCTGTTCCTCGTGCACATACCATTTAACTTGATTCAGGTCAGATTATCATTCAAACATTTGAATTTAAAATTGACGAAAACTGGCTTGAAAGTTCTATCGTTCTACCAATTTGTCTGAAATGAACGATCGGCAAGAATTTCTTAAAAACGCTGAAATGTTGGCTGCTTATAGCCCTACTCAACAGCAGCAACATTTTCAGTTATAAAAGACTCTGTTTGCTGCAGATGCATTAATAACAGGATCTCGAATTTTCGTGCAAGCTTAGATGAGGACATTCGAAAGTATTTAAAGAAGTATTCCTGGTTATGTAAACTTTCTGAATAATTTTTTCTAACTCGGTATCGTTTTTTCTCGTTTTGCTCATTATAACCTTTAAAAAAACTTAAAAAATTTTAAGCTTTCGGATAACACTCTTCAAACAGTCGCAATATTTTCAGGGAATACGAATAAAAATTTAGTCATTAAGGGAGTAAGAGCTTTAAGAGTTGCACGCGTTTGAGGAGAATTTCCAAAGTAGCAACTGTTTTTGCACACGTTACGTTTTTATGCGCTTTCTGGTTGTGCCCTAAATTGAAATATTTTTGAAAATAGATTTTTTATGACGTCACACTTGGGTACTCTCATTAAGGGTTGAAATAGGTGAAGTTTAAGAATCAATTAGGAATAGCACAAAAGGTCGAAGTTCATTTCATGATTCTACATCTCCTCGAGCAGATAAGGTCATATTTTGGTGCTAGTATGTTCAAATTTTACGAGAAAGAGAAACGTTATTGACGGCTCACAACCACAAACCATTAAGGCTGAGAAAAAAATAACGCATTCCTATGAGATAAGTGTGTACAGGGACTTGACCCACAGTGCCTCACCTCTTCTCAATCGTTCTCTGCTGTCTAGAAAACTTTGTTTCAGGTGCCATTTTTCCATGATTTAGGTTAACCTGTGGCCATGATCTGAAATTTCCATGTTCCTTTTCGCTCTTTTGTGTCAATTAACAAAGTTAATATGTTTGATTTAAAGTTCAATTACTTTAAAGGTTCTTTCATCAAGAACTTTTTATGTTTTGAAATTAATTTGCAATTACTTTGTTTGTAATCTTTTAAACTATGGTTTAAAAATGAAATTTTATTTTTTTCGGCATTGCAAGATAAGACTTTGGGCCCGTGAAAATCAATGTGTTATGACAACCTCTCTTTAACGTTTTTTTTAATATTATGGATTATTAATTGACAAATTTGATATAACATTTATTGTTGTCATCGCTTTCAATATCTTTATCAAGGGAGCATGTACATGTTCTTCTATCAGGTTTCAAAATGCCATTGTTTTAGTCTTGCGTCCGTTTACACTAGAGAAGGCAAATTGATATTCAGGTCAGCCTCGTTTCAGTGCTTTGTACCCGGTGAATTTTTCTTAGGAAATGGCGCTTTTTAATTCCCTTTAGAAGAAATATGTAGACCATGTTTTGACAAAAGAGGGGGCTAATTACCCCCCCCCCATACCCCATTGGCGCCGCCACTGACTACTGCAGAGTCGCTAAAAGTTGAGTTGCAAAGCAAAACTCGCGACAGTCGGCAAAAATTTCACTTAGCCAATTGAAACATTCTCTTGCTGTGAATTTGGTGCCATTTTGTATTCAAAATTATTGTGTGAAATTACGCATGCTCATTCATGTTTTATCGACCTCTCTCACCGACCTTATTCGAAATCTCTATGTGAACACAATACATGTGTAGTCCCCGTAAAATCTTACAACGCCCTTTAAGAAAAATTAACCATATTGGGTTCTTCAAGCCTGGGTCTCTATGATTATCTGTTGTTGTTTAATTTTTTTAGTCGTTGTTGGTTTTAAAAATTTAGAGAATTAACATTGATCGGACAATAAAAAGAGTTGTTTGAACCCAGGTTATTGGTATTAAAATGACATTCTCTAGGCAAATTAAATTGGAAACCAAGATAACTGCCTTTGAAAGACGACATTAACATTGTTGTTGATAACTGGCCAAAAACGCGTGGTGCTCTGCGCATATTTTAAGCGCATGTGCGTCGCAAGCCTTTCATGCCAACGCGTCACGCATGCCTATCAGAATTCAGTTTCCAACAAACGACATCTATCTCGCCAAAGAAATTTCGCTTTGCCGCTTCAAGAGTCGTATCCAAAAACCGTAGATCGATAATCGTTGTTCCTCATAAATAACTCCTTTTGCCCGGAACAAACCTTATTATGTCTGTTACTGGCAGCTGAACACGGAAAAAGCGGGTCAGCACGAATTGTACACCAGAAAAGCAGTTGGTGCAGTTTAAATGAAAATATGCATATAAAAATGATAATTTATTCCTTTTCTCCCACTTTCAACTACAGAGTTGTCGATGCAGGAAACGTCTGGACTTTACGTAGCTACCAAAGTGCTTAACTGGGATTGCTTCAAAAAATTGTACAAACCTACCCTGTTAACAGAAAAAACAAGAGCTTTGTCATACATTTGGATCCTCTTTTTCTGTGAAGTAAGTTTTTTTTTAAAAATTATCCACACAAGAGGAAATTTTTTCTTTGTTGGCAAAACGAGTTATTTAAGAGAGAAAGGAAACTGAAATGGCGCGCTCGCAATTTTACGAGTCCAAACTCGGAGGTGCTATGAAGTCTCTGAAGATACCCTGTAGAATCAAGAAAAAAATCAGATTAATCTTTTAGCAAGTGAAGATAGATTATTTCTAAACTGCTCCATCTTAAAAAATAGGTTGGAAGCTAAAGAATCAGTACACAAAGAAATCGCTGTTTCCATGCTCATACTGATATTCTGGAGGTAGCAATTAAAATTGTTTCTTTGTAACGCCTGAGGCAGTCCAGATCTTTTGATGACTTCTTCATATACGTAATTTCAGGATCTTAGAAAGACATTATTTGCTAAAAATGCTCTAGTCTCTAAAATCGCGGATCACAGTGACAAAGAAGGACAGTTCTTATCATACTGAGAAGGCATTAAAATTCGTATCCTTAAAAACTAGGAGGCTTTCATTTTTGAAGCAGAGAATTTCTAGATTATCTTGGCAGCTGTTTCTAACATACAAAGGAAACTTGAAACCAATCTCTGATCAAACATTACGCTGTCTGTATCTTAAGCAGCATTGCGTAAGGAGATTTCTGGATTGTGTAATATTGATATCTTAATTCGCATGGATTTGCAAAAGACTCAGATAGGAGACTACGAGTAAATCAAAAGAATTGCACATTATTATTTATAAAAGAATTTGAAAATGTTTCTTTAGAATCATGAATCACGCACTGCGATTAAGTACAATAAATTAGGTAACGATGGTGATAAATATTTAACTTTGTTTCACTAAATCTAACAACACTAACAAACACGAAGCAACCCTACCATACCTGTAAAATTTGCTGTAAAATAAACAAAGTGAGTGAAAATCTATGTTGGGAGAACTGTAGGGGCTTTTGTGATATTCCAAACAGTTGCAATACAAGTTTGTAAGTTTCAAAATCCTATCATACCCAACCATCATCATACCTTTCCAGTTTAAAGTACAACTAGTCGTACAAACATAGATTTTCAAGGATATAGACAACCCAAAGGAGTACTTTAAGTGTATTTCAGTAAATTTAGAAGTTTGATGTGCATTTTATATGAATGGGGTCTTTTTCAACAACATGGAAAAAGAGAAAAACTAGCAAGTGTCATCAAGATACACGAATGAAATCCTGAGTTTGTTGAACTGAAAGCTAGTTTAACCAGATGAATTTGTTACACTGGGAAGGTAATTATATTGGGGATCCTTGTATCAGGTTTCCAGCATTCTTTGCCAAAAACCAATTTAAATGACACAAAGATCTTAAATAAAAACTACCTTAACAAAATAAGGCCAATTTGAATACATCAATCCTACCTGTAACATTCCGCATTAAGTACTTTATTGAAGATAACATGATCAGAAATATCAAAATTTCATGTAAAAATGTTGGGAGTCAAAACTGGATGTATTTGTTATCCTGGATGTATTCACTGACCTTTTATAGAAGCATCGCTTTAGCATTTCAATTTCATTGTATGGAAAATTTGGCATCAGCTTACAGGTTTGCAACCAAACCTTTCTAAATTAGTTTTTACATGAATCATGGCAGATGCCACATTTCTGTAGCAGGTACCAGAAGATGCCACATGCACATGCCTTGCCATATACACTTTTGTATATATACACATATTTATATACATGGTTTGTATTCACAGCAACATGAATGCATTATCAATTGGTCTATTCCCTAATAATTCCAAGCTAGACTGTAGAGACTATTGAAAATTCAGGTAAATTTTTATCAATATTACCATAATTACCTGTTTGTAAGTGAATCATAATTTCACTTTTATTGCTTTTTCCAGTCCGTAATCTCTTTGTGAAACTAGCAATTTTCACAAGAAACTTATCATATGGCTCCAATGAGCGCATCCACATAGGCGCCCATTCCCAATTCCTCAGCACCTTTGGAAGGTATCTTGGTGTTTTACTTTGAAGAATGTTCACTACAGAAATGAAAATGAGCAATATGGCTGTGGAGCCACCAATGCCAAGCAACCATTCTGGACCAGCAACTGATAGTGCAAAAACTGTTCCTGGAATTACAAAGAAGAAGAAAGCTATGTACACTGGGGCAAACCATCTGTAGGCTGCAGTTGTATTACCAAGGAACTTGGCCATGCTCAGAGGAACCTTCCGCATTGCAGGAATTGGGTACCATACCAAAATTCCAGAGATGTTAAAGAAAAGATGACAGAGTGCTATTTGAATTGAATACTGGAGACTGTCACCAGAGCTGGCCATTGCTGCAAGAAGACTTGTTCCAGTTGTACCTACATTTGATCCTAATGTTAATGGGAAAATTCTTCCTAGGCTAACAAGACCCAAACCGACCAGCGGCGTTAGGGTTGAAGTGAAAATTGAACTTGACTGAACCAATATTGTCATTATAGCACCAATAACAATTGCCAGATATCCAGTTAAAAAACCAAAAGGTTTTGGCAAGTCATTGTTTACAGTTTTCTTGATCACAGTAGCTATTCTGCCTTGAAGCATTGAGTGAAGTAGTTTTACAATACCAACTAAGCAAAAGCAGAGAATAATAAGAGATGCAAGCAGCATGATCAACCCAATCACTCCATCACTAAGCCCAGTATCGTGAAGAAGAAATGCACATGGTTTGGAATGTACAGTTATGGTTTTGTTGATGAATGTGTTGTTTAATGTAGCATTCGTGGCATTCTGGGCTTGGATTTTGATCACTTGTTTCTTTCCTTTGTCACACCAGTATTTTATAAGACTTTTAGATGCTGCATCTTTGTCACCTTGGGCAATTTTTGTAATCACACCTTTATCCAGTTGAATAATGAGATTTGTGAAGGGTTTGGTAAGCTTTGAGAGAAATTCCTTTTTTGTTGAAGATGTACTTTGGTGGAGATTCATTTTCTTGATAAGAATGTTTGTTAGATGATACAGGTACCCACAGGCAACTTCAATTGGCAGAAAGACCAGGACAGAGAGGATGTTGAACATATCATGCACTGTTGCTCCAGCAAAAGCACGTCTGAACTGATCTCTGTCTGAAACTTGGGCCAGTGATACAAATGTGTTAGTTACAGATGTGCCAATATTTGCTCCCATAATGATTGGTATGGCTGTTTGAACAGTGAGTACTGTAAAAAAGGGCAAAATATTACCAAAAATGAAAGTTATCAATGTATGCAAACAGGATTAGTTCCCTTGGGGCATAACAGTTTCACTCTCCTGTGGGGGGGGGGAGGGGGGCTACTGCACTGTTGATATGGAGATCGCCAATATGACATGATATCTGTAATAAACTTTACAGCAGAGTGAAGGGATCCTGCGTGCAAGCGCATGAATTCTGAACAAAAGAATTTTGATAAAAAAAAATTAAACTTCCCCACATTTTGAAAATAAATCATGTGATCTTTGTTTATCATTGAAATAGGAAGATTTTCAAACAGGCCCTTCACAAAATAGAGCAACTTTGAGTTTTATCAAAGAACTTAAATTTTTCAGAACAACTTTACAGAAACCAATACTTTAATTGCCCAATTTAAAAAAAATCGGGAAAATCTTTATCTTTTCCAGACCTCAAAATTAGATAATGGAAAAACCTTACACGAGAAAAATTTACACGATCCAAGGAAACATTTAAAAGGAAAAACCAAAAAGGAAACACGTAAAAAATAGGAAACACGTAGAGGAAACACAACAATCGCCACGGTCAAGAGATGACACACCTCCAACACACCTAAACAATTTTAACTGGCAATTTCCTCAGTTGGCGAAATTGCAGCCAGAGGTAGTTTCGTAACCCCAAGTAACCTAAAGTCTGGAAATTTTGAGCGGATTTCAGTCTATCAACTGATAACAACCTAAATGAGTTTGAGTTTGAGTAAATGTAGGGACTTCTATTTCATTTAAACTAGATAAAATAACTTACTTTTCGAAGCTACCATCGCAACAACGATGGACGTTGATGTCGACGAACTTTGGACAAGAACCGTTGCCAAAACTCCAATCATTAGTCCAGCCACTGGATTTTTGAGAACCTTGTTTGAAGAAAATGCCTCGCCAGCTGCCTTTCCCCCAAGAAGACGAAAGGCTGAGCTCAGGAAACTCAAGGAGCAGATGAACAGGTACAAGAGCGCAAGAAGAACCAAAAGTTTGGTTGTCGTCTTCACAGTTCGGCCGACTTTTGTTCGGGTTGGCAGATCTACATACAACATAACACATAAATAACTTTGAAAATTTTATGGTCATTTTTAACTTGAAAACTTTTGCAGAAAATTTGACAAATAATAGTTCTACGAGAGTCTCGGAGGTAGGTAAACATAAAAATCTGATTTAGGCGCCAAAATATTTTTATCACTCATTGAAAAGCTGTATAGAAATCATTAATAACCATGCAGATCCTTATTCTGTGTCATGATAAACCCAAAAAAGCGAAATAAATTACAATTTGGCCACCTTGGGACACTTTCAGACGCTTCTTCTTTAACAGGACAATTGAATGGGCAGTCGTAACTCTTGCGATCACTAGAAGCCCAGGAACATCTGAAGTTCTAAACTTTACAGGGAATTACATTTGAAGAAAATTCCTTACCTGACCATTTTACTTCATCTAATTCAACATCGTCTGCGATTCCGAATGGATCCTTCTCCACCTTTTCTCCTTTCGCGCTTTCATTCAAATCAATTTCTATGGTGTGTCTGCCCATCTAGCAATTAGATAAAAATCTATATAAATTTTTCTTACAAAGCTTGCTAGTAATCAAAGTTAAAATTTAAAAGAAAATTATTTTTTCAAACAAAATCAGTCACTTACTTCGCACTTTTTTTAACCCAGGTAGTGATCTACAGCCACGACTCAGCCACCATTACCAACTACAAACTCGTATAGTAATCACGAGCGGTTATCATACCACCTGTCAACGTGGTTCGAGCAATATAGCCAATCAAAAAGCTTTATATTTGACATGTCAAGATATGATTGGAGGACCTGGTGGAAATCACGTGGTCAGTTCATGTATAATCATATGTCCATACTTGTAAATCCATCGATGCATGTGAGAGATTCAGTAAACTCTCCAGATTTCACGTGCAACTATTGACAGGCTCTACAGTGCCCATGCGTAATTCATAGCGAGATCTGTGCTGCTCTCGTGAATTGTTCAAATCGCTTTTCAAAACCTGTTTTGAAGCTGGTTGGCGCTGGCCTATAACTGCCATGCAAACTGGTTGCGCTAATTCAAAACTGATTCACATTGGAAACTGATTCAATGATTAAAAATAAAACAGACTGTTTTACACAGCTACAAATTTTCCGAATCGTTTGAATAAAGTTAAAGAGTTCTTTGGTTAAAAGTTTTGCCTGTTTTATTTATTGATTTTCTTTCTTGTCTTTTCTATGGCCGTAAAGAGTTTAATTTTTTTATTAATCCGTACATAATTTTAAGATGCAATGATAACCAATTTGGGCAGTGATGAGGCGGTTTTGAACAGTGATGAACAGGAATACTACAGTGATAAAACTAGCATTTCTAGACGTAGCGGGCAAATGTCGCGCCTTTTTCACAAAATTTAAAATTTGGACTTTAAAAAAAAGAATTTGATAGTCTGAACACATGCACCGCACCGCGGAGCGTTGAGAAAGTTCGGGGGTCTGAAAAAAGTGGAGAGGGGCTAAAACCAAATAAAAATGGCTTGACTGGGTGATTCGTTGGTAATTTTTTACAATTTTGGCAAAAACATAGGTATCCTGTCGCTGTGTACGATTGCCGGTACTCTTTTGATGTTTTTTAGGTAGTTTCATAGCATCCGCTACACCCATGGGTAGTTCTACATCGTATTTGAGTTGCTTTTTGGAAGTTATAAAACCGTTATAAAGTTTCAATATTGACTAATGCGATGATCTTGGAACCTTTCACCTACAGCACCTGAGGGCAGAGACGCCGAGCCGCGAAAATTAGTTGTTTGTTGCGACAAATATAGTTATTCTTTGTTTACTTGCTTTATTTACTTACTTTTGTTTAGGTGCCCGACGAAAGGGCGTGTTATGCTGGATGAAAGGGCCTATCATGCCTGAACATCACTTTTACGAGAGAGGGTCACTAAGTATGTTAGGCCTTCAGACTCAGGCTTTTTTCCAAAGTCAAAAAAGATGCCTCTAGTTTTTCTGGTGTTGGCTATAAACATTTGTTTTCGAAAACCAAGCATTTGTAAGGCCTGTATTTTCTATTAAAGAAAAATAGTCTCCACTTTCTAAATCACATAGCTATTAAGATAGCAATTTAAATAAGAGATTGAAGTAGGGTCAAAATTTTATCACAGTAGAACAACAAAACACGCCCTTAACAAAATTATGTCTACAAAATAATAAAACGTTTTAGCGAAATGCAAAAATGGCTGCAAGAAATAATTCTGAAATGTATAGAGTCCCGATTTATTTCATTGACGTTATATAAAAGAATGCGGTAGGCGATCAGGAACCAAAACAGCAGTCAGCTGTTTTCAAATGCTGTTCTGATTACGCAACTCGAAAAACTTGGCATGGAAAAAAATAGCAATGGTTTCTACTTTTTACGAAGCGAATTATTCACTGCAAATTTGCGGAGAATTTTCTAATCTCTACTTCCACGGTTTAATTTGCGGGATGAAGTCTAAAAATCAGAACCATTAAGTAAAATTCTCAAAAAAATTGGACAAGATTGGATGAACAATCGATCCTCCATACCCCCACTCCATGAGGCTATGTTTCACATTGCTCAAAAGTATTCGTTTTCGGTGTTCACACTGCGTTTTGTGATTTTAAAAGTCTCATGGAGTGGGGGTATGGAGGGTCGATTGTTCATCCAATCTTGTCCAATTTCTGTTTTGTGTTTTCAAAGTGCGTTTTCAAAAGTCTCCGTTTTCGCAGCGGAGCAGTGTGAACGCATGGTGAAAACGGATACTTTTTTGTCCGTTTTTTTTTCATTCGAATCCTGAGAAATGTGAACGGGGTTTGCGGACAACGACCCGATGTGATTTGGGAGGAGGACGACCAAGACACATACAGATGACGGTAAGACTTTGTATCCCTAAGATTTGAGGATGGGATTGTGCGGTGGTGGAGTTTGTTTCAAAAAATTTTTTTGCTTGTGACTTATTTTACGGAGGCTTATTCAAAAGTGAGTGGGTTTTTCGAGACCTCCGCATCCCCCTTCTATGGACCTGGCCCGGAGAAAACAAAGCTTTTCTTTGCTCGTAATTGCTTTTGTTTTTATTTGAATTACTCAGCAATACATAAATTAACATAATCAACTCTCTTTTTCTAGGAATTTTTTTGTAGTGGAACGGAAATGCGTCAATTTCTGCAATTTCTCCTTTGCAAATACCAATACTTTGCTTGGTCCCAGAAACCCTTTGCAATTCCAATTTTAGTGATAAGTTGGAAATACTCAGTAGCGTAGTGAAGGTGAGGCAAGAGGAGGCAAAAAATTGTCTTTGGAAAAAGGCATTTTCTGGCCACCCAAAGGCTGGGACATTTTCTCTCCCCCAATTCGCCATCGCGCCATCTCCAATCTTACCACCCTGACTACGCTACTGAAAATACGAACTAGTCTCCGTTCCAGAAAACAGCAACTCGCGCACTTTAAAATAATACTTAGTTGCTTGACTTATTTTGGTACTAAATGTTTCTTAAAGGTTTCTTAAATGCCAACTGATAAAGAGCTTCTTTCGAAAAAAAAACAAAAAACGTTCAAGTTTTTTGAAACAGAATTCCTAATCAGTCATAAGAGGTTCCTCCCTTTTTTTCTTGTTAATTAATCCCATCCTTAAAACAAGAGATTTCAAAAAAATGTTCCAATGTTGTAGATGATTAGCGCTATCGCTTCTTTTTTATCCAAAGGCTCAGGTTTCTTGCAGACCTTTCTTGCAAAAATTTAGTGTGAATCAACCTTTTCGTGTTATTTATTTTTGTTTATATTAAAACGGTCCGAATTTTTTCTATAAATTTGTTTCGACTTGTCAAACTTTTTAAGAAATCGAGGAGAATTGAATTTTGAGACAGTAATTAGAAATATAATGAATCGATGAAATTTCTTATCTAAACAGTGTATTGTCAGAGGTTAGTTAAAATTTTTTTACTGAATGACCTCCCCTCAACCGAACCAGATCAGACTGGTATTCTTGTTTGATGCCCTGTGGCCATGTGACCTGTAGCTGTGTGGTCCAAAAAAAATTTGCTGTAGTGCCTTGTCATACCAATGCACTAGACGTAAGTGTGGTTTGTGACAGGGAGATAAGGTACATGTATATTATTTGCCTTCAAGAGAAAGGAGGACCAGTTTAGCTACCTGCAAAGCAGTTGAGATGAAATCATAAACAATAGCACAACACGTGAACTCTTGACAAGTAAACAAGTTTGATGAAACATGGAAACGGAAAGAAATAATGAGAACGACTGTTTGAGCCCAAAGGAACAGAAGGTTGCTGTTAACTTTATTTGGAGTCAACCAGATTTTTCCCCAGAAGCAACAGCTGTCGACCTTATTGTAGGCCACGCTGTTGGTGCTAACAATGATATTTTTGAAATGTACATGGAGGGGACAGAATTGAAGGAAAATACGCCAATTTCAGAATATAGACTTGACAAAATGACAGATTCTTCAAACTGTACCTCATTTGATATCAAAATTAATTTACCAAAGAATTCATACCAATTTCTGTTTCGAATTGAGGATGTCAACAACTTAATTTATTTGGCAGTCAGTGAAAGTTACAAACAAATACAACTTGTCAGTGGGAGGACAGTAAATTACTTGGAAGTAGATGATAACAATTGCAGCACAAAGGAAGACAAAGATGGTATGATTTTCAAGCTTGAATTTTTTTATGCTAACTTCATTTGGCTACACAAAGCAAAGTTTGGATTAGGTATATTAAAGGTTTTAGAAATTGTAATAAGAGCCTGTTCAAAAGTGAACAGTTTTTGCTTCCCTCATTTACACTGATTGGTAAACCCGTATATTATCTGCTCCATCAAATCTCTGGATTTTGAAAAGGGTTATGGCAGGGTATTTTAGCATTCAAATGGGGGTCAATTAACCTTCACCCCCAAGTATGCAGAGCATTGCAATGGTGTGCAGAAGAGACACAGTAAGAGGATGCACCTTAATGTTAGATACATTCAGTTGTAAGTGAGGAATATCAATGGTGCTGGTGTAACTGGAAATTTAGCAATTTCTGCACATCCTCACCAGAGATGTGGGGCTGTTTCCACACTCAAGAACTTTTCAACATCAGCCACACTGAATGCCCTCTTCAGGCAAACAATGAAATCAAAGCAACTTTTAGGTGTGGTACTAAAGCTTTTTTGCCTTATTGGCCTCCCTCGCTGTCTTTGACCATTGAACTGTCAAGTTCTCTGCTCTGCTGATACTATTTTGTGCCTGTTAGGGACCATGTCGACAGGCTATTTGGGGCTTATGAAACTAGCTATGGGATATTATAGCCACTTTTGTGTTTAAAAAACTCTTAGGGCTTGGCTGGTTGGACTCTATGTATTGCCAGTGGAAACAGCTCTTATTATTGAATAAAGGAATGATCAAAATGCCACACCCTATGCGTCCTAATAGATTTATGTTTTCAAACTTTATACCAGCCTTGCAAAATGCCGCAGAATAACAATGTAGCTTTGCAACCCTTTTTAAGGTCTCTCCTGTATGCTATTAGAATTCCACTGAGAGTATCTTGAAAGATAAACTACGGTTGAACGAACATAACAAAACAACTTATACGATCAGGATATAATACTAGGCCACATTACGTAATCAGCGTAAGAGTAGTAAAGCGTGTTCACAGCATGACTAAGCAAGGCTTAACTTAAAGTGTCAATCAATGATACTATGAGTCAAAACGTGATAATAGTAAATGTCTTGTCATATGCCCCTATGACCTCCTGGTCTGCACCCAGCTGATTGTACCCAAGCCCCACTGCCCCACCCAGCTTTTCCATTATTTCAATAAAAATTTAAAAAAGGTCATAGCTGTATGTTATTTTGTTAAAAGATGCTTCAATCAGTACAAATTTTTCTTCATTTGCAGAATTTATGGATGTCAATGAATCAGCCCCATTGGTTGAAGGCGAGAGAAGAAAGAATGGAAAAAGGGAAAAAGGAACAAGGTGTGGATGCACACCAGGCAATTGTTCTGTTCTGTAATTTCCTATTTTCAAGTGAATAGTTGAAGAAACAACACCTATTTAATGTTTACAATGAAGTGCAATGATTGGTAGATGGAAGGTAAAATGGATATGCACTCACCCCAAAAAACTGATAACTGAAAAACCTTTTTACATTGCTCTCATTATCAGGGTAGCTCTAAGGTATTTTGCTCCAAGCCTGACTTCACTACCCCTGACTAAAAGTAATGGGGTCTGGGGCTCCGGTTTACATCTCACCAGTACAATAGTAATAGTTTGAGAGCTATAGGAACAAAAGGGATTGCACAAGCCCATTGAAAGGTTTTTAGAGTTGCACAAGCCCCTTGAGAAAAGTGTAGCTACAGCCTGATAACCAATGTCTTATTTCAGAACAGGTCTTACTCTGTAGCTCTTTCATGATGAATTACATGAACTGTAAGGCAGGAGGGCAAAGCACAGAAAAAAGTGCAATACTTACAGAACCTGAAACTAGTGCACTGCAGGGATGCCAGAAAGGCTCAAAGGGTTGTAAACCTAGAAGTTCAAGAAATATTCAGCTGTTTCCTCATGCTTTGCTGAGTTTTTCTGAACTAGTTATAGGATAATTTATTTATTAAGTCAATTTAGAATTGATTTGTTCTGAGATGCTGTTTGAAACTTCCAAAAAAGGAATGTGGTTGAATTAGATATCATGATCATTCTTTGTGTTGGATTTAGAAATTAGTTTTTGATTTTGTTGTTCACCTTTTAGTAATTTGAAGGTCGTTTTTCTCTGATCTTACAAAATCTTCTTTGATGCTGGGGACATTTTAAGATAAAATCTTGGTTTGATACAACATTTGCCATTAAGCATCGTTTTTACTTTATGTTTTATGTACAATGTATGTACAATGAGAACTTTATGTATGTTTTATATTTCACCACTCATGATTCATGTTGAAAAAGCTTATCATGTTGATGATACTCTTTGTAGAAGGCTTTTCTTGGCCCTTATCTCAGGGTCACCATGACCATTCATATGCTCTTTGTTTATAAGAACCAGTAAATTGAAGTTCATGCTGACTGTTCTTAAAGGCATTGAGTCATGATATAATGGATTGGGTATACCCTAAGTGCAAAATCCGCTGAGTCATGATTTTCATGACTGCGATGCTATTGGTTGACCTGGAACTGGTCACATGAACTCACCTCGTACTGATTGACAAAACAATTTCCATCAATAGCAGGTTGTCAACAGCGGATGCAAATATCACATGAAATAGCAACCAAATGACCCCCTATAGAGAAGGCCTATTTACCATGACTCAATGCCTTTAATTTCTCCAGATATTTCTAAGGCTGGATTTTTCTTAACTGGGCAGTCGCTAGCTATTGTGCTCAAAAGAAATGTTCAGGCCCAATTTGCCCACAAAGTGAGTGATGCATCCTTTATTTGCCAACAGATCTTAAAATTGACCAACAAAGGACTGCAAAAAACCCTTTGTGTTTGAAATTGAATTTTTTAAGGGGGGTTTTACAACATTGTTCAAAATTATATTTTACTGTACCTACCTCAACCACAGCTTGTTCTTTGTTCTTAATTTTTTACCAATTTTGAGGCTCTTTTTCTTATGAAATTTATCTTGTAAGAAAAGACTATTCATGTCAAACTTGAATGCAGGGTTTTTATACTGTATCGTCATCAGCATAATAATAACTGATAAAACCAAGGGGCTTAATTATAACCAACCCTGTGTCTTATTACCAAGTTTGAGAACTTTATTTTTATTGTGCGAATAAAGGAGAGGCCACGATAGAAGGCTGCTCGACGGACTCCGGGGGAAATCTTGTGGCGAAAGTCATAATCGTCATCATAATCGTCATCATAATGATTATAATCCTCAACATCAATCACCACCATCATCATCATCAATCATTATCATCATCAATCATTATCATCATCAATTATCATCATCATCATCAATCATCATCATCATCATCATCACCATCATCATCATCATCATCAGTTTCGTCATCATCGCCTATTCATAATATCGAAGTACATTTCCTCCACATTCTTCGTACATTGCAAAAGCCATGCTATTTATTAGTTCAGTGACACTTTATCTCGATTTGAAACCTTGAGATCTTCTCTGTAATATATTCGTGACGTCATAAGACGACTTGTTCATGCGGCCTTGCAGAATCGGGTGAAAATGGCGGATTGGGCAGACTACTTCTCACGATCGCGACCACCATCGAATCTTGAGGAGGCCAAAAGAGCAATAGAAGACTTTGCATCGAAACATAGACAGCTGGGCAGGAATATTGTGCTGGTGACGGTGGGTGTTCATATTAATTGACTTTCTGGGATAATTTATAATAATAATTTCGCATGTTGACGGTGAATGAAGTCTTTGTAATAAATTAATACTGCCTGTGCATGCATAGATTAGCAGATTGATCAGGCAGATTAACTGTAACTTGTCCGACAAAAAATTAGAGCATAATTTAAGGTTCGTGCATTATAAAACAATTTAATGCATAAATTCTCTCATAATAGCGTGTAGTTGGAATGTTTGCTAAACTTTCGCAAGCACCGTTTCGCACTCTCATAGCACATGGCGAAGTTCAATAACAGCATTCTCGAAGGTTAGGCCAAAAATTTGTTTTACTTGAACAGGTGAACTTTTTGCGCGAATGGTAAATCCAAAATAACGTTGATTATTTTTAGATACCATGTCACAGCTTGACGTTAGTTCAAAGTAATACCTGCTTTTCATTGCCAAAATACAATTTTGCTACTTGAATAGGGTGCTGTTAACTTAATAGGGTGCTGTGCTCGAAAATCGTCTCGATTCTCTCAGCATCCTAGGCAACTATACTAACAAAAACTTTGTTATTTTGATTATTTTAATATTCTATACACAGCTAATTAATTATCTAAATAAATTTTAAACCAACATTGTTGCTGCTGAATTACATGAATCCTCGTCCCTAAAAGCAAGGAACTGATAAATCTGTTATTCAGTGTTGTCAAGATAAGTGATAAAGCAAAAGTCTTTTGTTTAAAGTGATGCTGTACAGAGCTAAACAGAGCCTCTTTTAAGCAAAACCAACTACTGGGGAAAATCTTAGTTTGGGGCCCAAGCCAGTACACAGAAAAAATAGCGCCATTGTTATAATAACTTTGAATAAAATGTATATGACATAACAGAAATTTTAACATGCAAAACCATTTTAAGTGTTCAAATTGAGGTCCACACTTTTGAAAAAGTTACTAATAGCAATTATAAACAACCATTGTCTTTTTGAAAAAACTTTTTAATAAAACTTCTAGTCTGATATATTTCTTGGTCAGGCTGTCTGTCACGCCTCTCTTTTTGCTTCAAAAATTCAGCAACTGCATTTCTTGGATCATAAAAGGCTGTTCCTTTACCATTTAAGGAGATGTGCATAATGCTGTTTATTGACTGTTGGCTAAGTGAAGCTCTGTTTGAGGTCTTGATATTGTTGTAATGAGAGACTGTTCTTTCAGTCCCCATGCTATGTGGGGTTAAGGTTAAAAACGATGCTAGAAATGTTTTCAAAAGACCACAGCTTGCTTGCACCATTTTTCTTAATTTCAATGCGTAAAATGTGCCATTGTCTTCAATAGCAGGATCTTCAATGGCAACTATCTTCCTCCATGACATACATGTGTCAGAGACAAAATCTTCAATCTTTTCTGGGCCAAATAGTTGACTGGCTAAATCTCTGCTTGCTGTGATGAGCTCTGTAGATGATTTGGCATCTAAAATTTTCATCAAATTTTTTATAAGTTCCATCATTTTCAAGGTTCATTCTCTCATCTAAAAAATTTATTGCTGATTGGACAATCTCTGTTCTCACTGTCATGTCATTCCTGTGTGTTGTTGTCACATATTTGTTCATTATGTTTCTTTTCTGTCTTGAATTAGTTGGAGAAGAAACTTCTTCAAAGTTTCCACGACATTTCTCCTCTCTCCCACCTGGTATTGGTATTTCATTCATTACTTTGAGATTCTCAACTGCAGCATCTCTTGCAGTTATAATATCCAACAAAATTAGGTGTGACTTTTGAAAAATTTTCTGGAGATTCTTAAATATTTTGCACAAATCAAACATCAAAGTTGTTAACCAAAACTGTTGACCATCATGTTTCCATTTATCTAAAAAGCCTTGAGCCATTCTTTTTTCAATTTTTTCAGCGTGAATTTCACCAGAACACATCTTTGTCCACACTTGCTTTGCTGCTTCAAGATTATTTAGCACTGCCTTCAGCACATTCAAAGTGTGCTCAGCAAATCGCACTTCAAAGTGCTTAGGAAATGTCAGACATTTGGGATCTTCTTTGTGAAGGTACTTTACTCTGCGAGGTGATTGTCTGAAAAATTTGGAAACAGCAAGTACATTGGTCATCCACAATGACAATTCAGGAACTTCAGACTGTACAGACTCCAAAGCCAAATCAGAGCGATGGCATATGCACCATGCAGTGAGCAATTCTTTTCCAGTGTAATCCTTTAGAAGTTTCCAGAGTCCACCATTCTTACCAGTGTTGGCATTTTCACCGTCTGTAGTTATTCCAACAAGTTTCTCTGTATCAACTCCCACACTCTTTAAACAAGTGGTAAGTGCATCAAGCAAACCATCTGCACCCCCAAGGTCACTACTTGAAATACCCAGAAATACAGTTTTCACAGAAACTTCATTTTGTGGGAGAAATCTTGCAGTGATGAATTTGGAATCCACTTGTTGTTTGTCTGAACTGCCATCAATTTGTACTGAATAGCAGACACATTCTTTTAACAAATCTGCTACTTTTTTCATTTCATGTTCACTGATAATTTTTCTCATTTCAGCATATGTCATAGGGTCTCTGTAATGGTAGGCAGAGCCTGGTTGATTGTAAGGAACAAAATCAGCATCCCATCCATTATCTTTAAATATGTGCAACAAATTGTTGCTATGATCACCAGACAAAGATCTTGATGCCCAGCTCCATGCACTGACAGTTTCTACTCTGCAGTCATTGTATACATCAACTGCAAGTTTTAGAAGCAATTGTAAGGTCTCAGCTTTACATTTCTTCACTATTCGTACCCAGGGATGGGCATCTGACATATCCTTCCAAGCATCATCAAGCTTTTTGAGTCATAATGCCTCTTCATGGGCAGCAGAACATAAATGGTCAACTATCAAACAAAGCCTGTCCTTACCATCAACACGAATTCCTTGAGCCACAGGTATTCGACCATTGACGGTGAACCTTTTAACATGCATTTCAAGCTGGTTACAAACAAGGCATTTCATGATAGGCCTTTGCCTTTTGTCTTTTCTTTCATATCTAACTTCAAGACAGCTCTCAGACATAATAAGCCAGTTTAAGTCTAATTTCTTTCCTTTGTACCAGTGAGTTCCAAATTCATCTTGTTGTTTTGCATTTTCAGTTGTAACATTTGTAGTGTCACTCTTTGCCACTTTGCTGGGGGGTGGCGAGGATTCATCATGTAGTAGGCCTTCCTCTAGTACTTCTGCTGTATTTTCAACCTCAACAGTGTCGCTATCCTTCTTTCCAAACATTGAGAAAATCGACTTCTGACCCACAGCTGAGGCACATTCCTTCAAAGCTCTTTTCTTGCTTTCGAGTCGCTTTTGGTGTCCACTCTTCTCTTTTTTCTTCATTTTGAAATTACGAGATTAGATATAGGTCATTTGAGATAGGTAGATCGAAAATAAAAATATTAAAAGCACGTGCTTGAGTGGCATGTGTACCAGGCTCGCAGATTGAATTGAATTGACCAATTCCTGGTAATCGAGATCAAAAGGCGAAACTGAGGCTCTTGAGGGCAGTCAAAGCTTCGAGAGAAGAGACGGGAGAAACTTGTCCCAGTCGCAGACCCTTGCACAAAGTTGAAAGAACAATGGAAATGAAAACAACAAAACAAATCATGGTACATAATGTGAAAAGGGCCCCTAACTACTGGGGCAAAATTAGATTTTTTTGCTTCACTACTGGGCCAGATGAAGGGCCTACTGGGGCAGAAACCCCACTAGTTGCAATGTTAAAAGAGGCCCTGGAGCTAAATTTGGGCGATCTGGCAAGCATCACTTCCAAAATTTGTATTGCATCGACTATTGGTTAAAGAAGACTTTGTTAGTTATTATCTTTTCTGTGTGTAAAAGTGCCTCAATTTTCTATTATTTTCATTATTTTGATTTCTTTGCATATTCTCTTCTGGAAAAGACAGAGCAACTAATGCACTCCACCTCCCCCCCCCCCCCACACCCATCACTAGCTATGCCCATTTGTTCAGCCAATGATAAATATATTGCAACTATCATCTTTCTTTCAGAGTGGAGGAACAACAGTTCCATTGGAAAGTAACACAGTTCGCTTTGTTGATAATTTCAGTCAAGGAACAAGAGGTGCTTCCTCTGCCGAGTATCCTTTTTATTCAAACTTATAATGTATAATGGAATGAGACGAAATAGTCCAGCTTGAATGAAAGCCATATTATCATTTGCTGGATATCAGATATACCTGTTGCTGCAACAGAAATTTATTAATGGCAAAGAGGTTTGCCATAAAGTCCACATGTTTCATGTTTTTTATTTTCTTATTGAATTTGAAATTTTTTATATTTGATAAACTCTCCCTGGTACTGATGATATCATTGCAAAAACTCTCAAATATTTATACTGATTTTTGTAGATTTCCATTTTTTTTGTTAGAGGAATAGTACCTTAACTATTTCAAAAGATACTTCTTACAATATGGCTATGCAGTCATATTTCTCCATAGACAAAGGTCACTTGAACCATTTTGCAGACATTTTGAAGGCCACAATGCTTTGGATATGCTTGATGTGCAATTTGATCAAAACGGTGCTTGTTCCTTATCAGGTATCTCATTTCTAGTGTTCTTTTGCATGATATCAGGACTCTTTTTGCTGTACATTTCCTTGCAAAAATGCAATTCAGAGGAAGCTGATCTTTGTGCAAATGTGCATTTTTGCTACTCAAGTTGTGATTCTCATGCCAATACATGCATCAAGTGGCATTTTCCGCTGAATTTAAATGTCATTAAGCTGATCTATAGGTGGTAAAAACAAAACATGTTATTTCTCAATTAAGGTTATCTTTCAATAGCCTTGTGGTTTTTGATGTGTTTATAAATCAAATTTTCTGTTTTAGTTGATGAATCAAGAGCTCCTTGGCTTCAGGATATTCTAAGAAAGTACAAGGAGGTAAATGCATTTTTTTTAAATTTTTAACTGTAATTGCTTTATTCTTGATAAGGTAAAATTTCTCTCTTGTATCATTCAGAACATTTGGCTTCCCAAATGGCTATGGCAGCATACACAATTTTTTCCATTTCTCTATTTCCAGTGCTGTTGTGATGGCCTCTATCATAGACAGTCCTAGCCTATCTTTAATTGTATTTTGTCACAATGTGTGTTCAATGAATTGATTTTTGTGTTGTTTCATCTCGTATACATTTTGGTTGGATCTATTTTTCATCTTTCTGATTCGTAACAATCTTCCAGCTCCGTAATTCGTAACAAGCCTACAGCTTCAATGACTGTAATCTAGCTCTATCACTAATAGGGTACACCAGTACTTGATTTCTTTTGCCACCTCAACTGCCTCATCTTTTGAAGTGATTTGAAAATAATCCTTATTGCTGTTATTGGTTATTCAAAATTGCAAGCATAACCCCCACCTAGAGAAATGGAAATCTTTGTGTGGAGCCCTTGTGAATCTTAAATTTAAACCATGCGAAAAATATACTTTAGTAAGCTTAATAAGGTGCAATAAACTATCTGAAATATAAGTAGAGTTTTTTGTTTGTGTCCTAAATTTTTTTAAATGGCCTGAAATTTTATGAAAAAATGTCTGAAAGTTTTTTGTCCAAAGATTTTTTGTCCAAAATTTATTCATCCAAAAGCTATGTTACTCGATGTATCATAATTTAGTTACATTCTGCCCCCAACTTCAAGTGAACCTTTAAACTATCCAGTGCCACCTCTATAATTGATTCTTAGTAAATATTGAAGGGAAAGGTTGGGAGAATGCCTGACAGCTTGTTTGATGTGACACCAGTCTGTTAAATCAAAGCCTGCTCAAACTTCCTGCCTCTTGTATAAAACTCGAAGTGGCTTTACTAGATGCTATAGAATTTAGTAGAATAACTTAAATACAATTTATTCAAATTTTTGTGTATTTATGAATTTTCTTGATACTTTTTAGACTGTGTCATAATATATAAAAATGATAGAATTAATCTAATTATTTGAAAGGAAATCAAGTTAAGGTATAAAACAGCAGGTCATGCACAGTTTGTCTATTTTTAGATGAGTTTGTTGTTGGAAGGGAATTGCATTAATTTTTAAGTAAAATTGATGGTCAAATAATATCCAAGGAAATTTATTCTATGTTCTTATACAGCTAGTGTCTTGGTACATCTATTTCACTAAAAAGGAGATGTGCTCTCTGTTTCTAGATCACTTTTTACTGCATGGTTCATAAAAAAATATGTTTTTATTTCAGGTACAGGGGTCATGTCTGTTGCTGCAAATTGGTTTTCTAACACTGTCAGATTATCTATTTTTATTGCAAGCTTCTGCCGAGGCATTGTCACCCATGGGCTCACATGCAATGTTTTATCTTGCTGCAGCAGTTTCTGATTTTTACATTCCAGACAGTGAAGTGGTAGGTTCACATGTTTTACAAAATTGTTATGCATCCCAACCCTCTGTGTTAAGGAATCTCACAGAGACTACTCCTGTTTATGAATTATCCAGGTTTTGATCATCTGATGTCTTTTAAGGTTACCATTTTTTAATTTCTGCTGGAAAACTCTTGAGCAATTAGCTGTTAGTAATTAAAATGTCAATAAATAGATAATACAAGAAATATATTTCAGATTTTAGAGAGAAATGTATCGATCTATGTGTAAATTTTGATGCAGATAGTGTCTTACAAATATTCTGATACCATAATTTGTCCAAAATTTGTCCTTTTCCTTTGTCTTTGTCTTTGTCTTTGTCTTTGTCTTTGTCTAGATGATGTACAGCACATTTAATTTGTTGGTGGCCATTACATTATGTTGTTTGATGCTAACCGTTTTTGAGAAAACGATGGGATGAATCTCAACTGAATTATCATTTTTTGTTGTACTGATTTCAACTTTAAATAATTACTTAATAATATAAATTCAGGGACAGCATGATGGAAACTGAAAGAAAATGATTTTGAAATGGAACATAGTCATTTAGAACTATGTTCCATTTCAAAGTTCAAAATGAAATGTCCTTGTTCATTGTTATTGTGACTTTGACCAATCTGCAAATCATAGCTAATGGCTATGATTTTTATCTTAAGCTGTTGGTTTTTCTTTCATTGTTATATTGATATTCTGTTTATTGTTTAGTAAAGCCATTTATTCATTGTTTCTGGCTATTTATAATTTGATATGGTATTCTTTGATACCATGTTTGTAATTTTTGTTATGTGTTTCTCCATTGCCTTACAACATTTCGCTCATCAACAACTCTCCTTCCAGGCTGAACACAAAATTCAATCAGTAGATGGTGTGCTGCAATTAACAATGTACCCAACACCAAAGATGCTATCCCCATTGGTTAAGCAGTGGGCGAAGGCTGCTTTTGTTGTGTCTTTCAAGGTACTGTATGTTGTACTGAATTAGTCTTTGGTGTAAACCCTGCTGTTTTCTGAATAACATCTAGTCTAGCATCATTCAATGTTATTAATTTTCATTTATTTTGAATTCTATTACACCAAATTTGATTCTCGTCATCATTTTGCTTTGTTCCTGATTATTACCTTCATATTACTACTCATTGGAAGTTTCACAGAATCCTACCCTGCTCTTCTTTCTGCTTACAAATGTTAAACAACCAGCAATGATAAAAACAAGTTATCGCCTCCATTTTGAAAGGCAGGGAATGTTGCATAAGATATATCACTATTCCTGCACAAAAGTTTTTTCAAAATAATGACAATTTTTTGGAATTTTTCTGGCTGTGTAAAACTTGCATACCATGTGCAATCTTAGTTCTTTATTTCAAGCCCTGCTTTTAAGCGTGAGTTCAAAGTGATTCATAATTTTAATTGCTTTATCTTGGTTAGCTGGAAACGGATGTGAACATTTTATCAAGAAAGGCAAGAGAAGCTCTGGAAAAATATAACCATCAGGTCTGACTTTTTATTGACTTTGTTATTCATTGATTTATTGACAGATTTGATTTTCAGTGTTGGGATTTTAACCTTTCATGAAACACGTTTGACCTCCTGTATGTGTAAATATTCTATAAGAGTTAAAAGTCTCAGATGGGATTTCAGTAGGCTGATCAAGATAACGCAGGAAATTATAACCTTAAATGTTCTATTTCTAAAAAATAGCACTCCTTATAAATTTACAGGAATTGCAGATTGATAACCTTAATAACATAATAAATATTTCGTTATTAGTTAGTTATTTTTAGAAAGATTTTGAAAATAAGTTTACCCATGCAATTTTTTCCGCTAGGATTTTATTACTATTACATTTTTTATATCAAAGCCTTGAATACTGACTCCTTCTCTTTAATGAAAACTAGTGAATAAACGTGTGTTCCTCAAAATCGAAGGTTGTGATAGCAAATATTTTGCAAACGAGGCGGAAGACTGTCGTAATAATCACACCATATGATGAGTATGCCATTTGGATGGCTGAAAATGAGCTTGAGACTGGCAAGGAAATAGAAGAGAAAATCGTTGAAGAGCTATCGAGGAGACACTTGCAGTTTATAGCTGACAATCCAGGTGAGATTTATACTTCTTCTTTAAGAGATAAAACCCAACTTGTGACGATTGGTTAAGAGCCTCCAGCTTCTTTGAGGTTGTTATGTATCATTTCTTGTTTAAGTTTTGTAGTTTCGTTACGGATAAACAAAGAGTTGACGGATTTCGAAACACCTATTACATTTTTAGCCCAACTTTCAATTTTAGTACGCTTTTTTCCACTTTAACTTTTTAAAAATGCTGACATTTTTAACATGTTGTTGTCAAATTCCTCTATGCTGAACCAGCCATTGTTCCTTTGCAGTTCCATTTAATTCCTTTCCGGCCATTCTAGGAATCCTTCTGCCACGCTTTTCCCCTAACTATAACTTGTGCTTGTCATTCGCTTCGGTTATCCTGCAAAGATCACTCTATTTCGGGTATCTTCGTTACTAGAGTAACAGCTGATTTTTATTACCTTAGTGGCTGCTTCAAACAGCGATGATCCAAGCACGCCGAATCATCAAGTGCCAGTAAACACTCTGCCAGCATCTTTACAAGTATGACTTTTTAATTTAAGAACATGTTTTTTGCTTCATTGTGACAGTTAAGCTACACGAGTTCCTAAAACATTACAAAGACTTTAATAGATAACACCCTGGCGATAAGTAGGTTTAGTCGTAAAGGCCTGGTCTTTATTCAGTTAGTAGTCACTACACCCTGTGTTAGATATCTCAAGGAAAGAAATTATCATGTAGTGTTCTACTGGAAAATTTCAATGCAGATGTAATTGTTTGTTTTCTTGTTAACCTTGCTTGTTTGAACTGCAATTACAGATCACATTGTCAGTTATAAGTGTTAGTTCATGTAGCCAGCTGCTTTGAGTGAATCAACTGCTTGATCTTTTTCGTAGCAAGTGCTTGTTCTAGTAATTCTGCTTACCAGCAAGTTTTGAAATTGCTTTTAGTGTAGTTTGTCTTGCCTGAGTGTGTGTGGGTGTAGGTTGCAACTGTCCTGTAAGATCCCGTTTTTCCTCTGTTCCCATGTTTAATGGACAGATCTTTGCTAGGTTTCATGCTCCAGTTGTTGAAGCTTCATTTCTATGCAATAGATTTTATGATTTAAGCATTTGAACCTAACTCATCTATTTTTTCGTAAAAAGTACAATTTCACTGGTCTGTCATATATGGCTCTTCTCCGAGTTTGATGCTGATTGCGATCATCAGGCAACTGTTCTATTGCAAGATGACTGCATTACGCGTAAAACTCGGAGTTGCAACTTAGATCCATCCTAGCATAGGCGTCAAATCTTGATTGGCTGCGAAGAAATCGCTGCAGTGGGAGTCCCCATCGAATCAAGCCAATCAAATTGCCAGAAATGAGGGAGAAGGGGCGTTTTTCGGTTCGATCCATCCTGTGCTCTACACCAAAGAGCAATTCTTTAGTGTATACATAGCCTGAATGTGTTTCTATGTGCTTTTGCTATGTTTAGACTCATGACTGTTATGACCCAAAGTTTATGCGACAAAATAATTTTATTCAAACTGTTATTGAAATGGCTTTTCGCTTCTAATTTCCATCCACCAAGGCGCGCTCTGCAGCCCAAAAGTGTTAAATCGGAGATCCTTAGAATATGCGATTTGATCATTTTTTTAATGTTGTAACAAGAGTCCCAAGGTTTTGTTTGGCCGTGAATCCATGTACCAAAGTTTGAAGTCCTTTGTTGTTGGAGTATTAAATAATTTATGCATTTCCTCGTTGATTACTCTTGCAATCAAAATGATTATTGGACATCATCGGATGCTACAAAATGTGATTTTTTCAGTCAATAAAGCATGCACTTCATTATAAATACCTTGACCTTGAGTTAGTTTCTTGATTTGTCAAGGATTGGAGCTAAGGGGGTTTGGGCCCTCCTCTTGACATAAATTATAATACATCATTATTCGTTATCAGCTTTTGTTTGGAAAGAAAGGCAATTGCTCTCACATAAAATTTTCAGAGGATAGCAATTTTACTTGCATTGATACTAAGCACGACGCAAAAAGCCCGCCTATCTTTACTAGTTAACAGATAATAGCCTTGTTTTTTTAAGTATCCAGCTGTCTCTTTCAGCTTCCCAATCAGATGCTCATTTGGCATGTTGAAGTGTTTTCGGAACATAGTGCCTCAGATTATAACTAAATAGTTCTCGTTATATGGCAGTAGTGATAGCAATATAGCTTTGTTTTGAAAGCATATTGTATCTATATTATATCTATAAAACGCTTGATCCTTGTTGTACTTTAGAGAAGTTCTGTTAGTTAATAATGGCTCTTAAAGCATGCACTCGCACTAATGATTCTAAAGAGAGAGTATATTATTTTCTCAAATTGTATTTTCTCATTTGTGCTACGATATTCCTTCAGCCAAATATTTGCATATTTTTATCATTTAATTTTGTCATCCTGCAGCCTTAGGATCTTTCCAAGAACAAATATCTGCTGCTTTTAGGCCTTGAGAATCATATTTCTTTTATACTGATATACATACTTTCGACCTAACCAAATCAGTAAAGTATTCGAGCATTTTCCTTCGCTAGTTATTTGTTTTTTGCTAAATTTTTTATTAGTTCAATAAATTTCCCGTTTATATTTTACGAGAATATACCTGGATGAAATTTTACCGTTGGGCCTAACTGACCGTGGCATGGCCATAGTTTGGTCTTTGAGAAGTGTTTTCTTCAGGCGTATGCTTATATTAATTAGTTATCTCTTTGGCAAATACCTATTCTGTGTGGCAAATAAACTGATTACTATTCTGTGTTCTTGTACTTCCTCAATTAGAAAAACGTGAGAGGCTGTTTTTTAAACTTAAGCACTAAAAGCATTAAGCAAGATGCTAATGAAGCGAGGGCAAATGGGCTAAGCTCCTCCCACCCCACTGCTCAGTCTCTAGCTACTTAAACTTTTCTGACTGATTAGTGATATGATAATCTTCTCCATATTATGAATGCTTGTTCCCTCTATCTAAGTGTTTCACAATTTTGTTAGTTTCAGAATCAAGGATCTGATAATGCGGCTGAAAGCCAGAATATCCAAGCAGGAGGGAACAACCAAGTAATGAACAACGGTGTTGTTGGAAGCCAGATCGTGAGTCAGTCAAAGAGCCTTTATTTTCAAATGAAGTTTAACCCCGATGGAACAACAGTGACTCAGGCGATTCCGAACCCACCACATAATCTTCGTCGATCCTTCTCAAGCAAAGACGATCACGGACTGTCCGACGAAATGCTGGATTTTATCAAATACTTCAAAACCAAAAGGATGTCATTAGGGTATACCCAGGAAGATATTGGAAGGGAACTTTCAGAGATGAATGGTCCAACATACAGCCAATCCTTTATCTCCAGGTATCTTGCCTAGAAATGTTTTGAAGTTTCATGAACATATAAGCTCAAGACCTCTGATTTCACTCAATAGTTACGTACATAGTTTTATATCAGAATTTGTATTATACTTTAATACTTGAAAGAAGTCATTGAGTATTGTATTTATGCATATATCTTGCGTTACTCCTTTTTAATTGTTATTAGGCAAATCAGTTGTGAAACATCTTCAAGTGAGTTTTTAAAACTTTGTTCATAGTCTGTCTAGGATTAGCCTTAACAAATTATTTCTAGATTGAAGGGAAAATCTTTGAAGGGCTTTCCGTGTATGTTAAGATGTAAATTTCTACCAATCTTCCTTCGTTGTTGTGCTCTTCAGTATTCAACAACAAACACATTTGTTTGACAGTTCTATGTGAATTCTAAATAGTTTAAAATTAATTCTAGGCTTTCATTTTATCCATCTTAGGTTTGAAGGCAAGCAGCTAGGGATGAAAGCTGCGGAACGAATGAGGCCTATTTTGGAACTATTTCTGCAACAGAAGGAGGCTGAAGGATCTAAAAATATGAAATTCGGAAAGAAAAGACGCAGGCGAACTTGCTTCAGTCAAGAGGCGCAGGAAATTTTGAACAACCACTTTAGCAAGAATCCAAAACCATCTCCAGAGGAAATTCAGCTGATAGCTAACGAACTGGGATTTGAACTGAACACGGTCAAAGTTTGGTTTTGCAACCGTAAACAAAGCCTTAAAAGGCAGGGCCAGCCAGTACCTGATAATTCACTTCGAGGCGAATTAGAAGCGAGGCGAAAGCAAAGCCAAACAAACGAGGCTTCTGAAAACCAATTTCAAAATACGTTGAGTGTTCCTTCTAGCCAAGTAAAACATATGTTATCACCTTCACCACCATCTGGTGGTGTCACGAATTTGCCATTTATATTGAGCCAAGACGGCATGGCAATTGTATCTTCGCCAAACTCCTTACAAGGGGCGCACATCATTCCCCAGTTTATAGCTTCAAGTACTTCGCAGCAGTTAGTTCTTTCGCAGGTTCCCTTTGTACAGACAGTTTCTGCTATGAACCAAGCGATATCCGGTGTTGTCACAGTCCCTGCTGTCCAGCCAGTACAGGTACTGGGAACGAGACAGGTTTTGTATCACCAGGTACGTATCACTTTGCTTTGAATTATTTGTTCGTCTATTTTTATATGCTTTGCCAATGACATTTACATCTCCTTTCCTTATTAAATCACTCATTTAAAAGTATATTACCCAACATGTTTAAAATGTTTTGAATTCTTCATGTGCGGCTAATAAGCTAATATCACAGAAACATTTAACGTAACAGAACAGTACCACTCTAGAAAAAGATCCCAAGACAAGTTTGTCTCTTTTGTGGAAAACTAACGCAGGCCAAAAGGGTTTATCCTACTCATACGCAACTCAAACATCAAATAAATGTAATTTCGTGCAAATGATGAACAATGCTGAATATTTCCACCTCTAGCTATAATGGTCTTAATAATTGTAAACACGAAAGCAGTGTAAACTATTATTCTCTGAACCGCAAACTTCTAAGGGAGCCATTATGAAAACAGGGTCTTTTGCCCTTTTTAATGCTATATCTGCAATTTTATTTTGGACATTTTGTATGATTTAAGTTTTAATAAATATTGCACTTAGATTTTAACATTTGTGACGTACATATATTATAATCATTTTTTTATTTTCAAGTGGCATAAAAATGCTCACTGACTTTGCCTCTTATTGAAATGAATTTTTCGCCAAAAGCATGGTTTTGATATCAAAGAAAAGAATAGTATACTCCCGATAAGTCAGACCCCGGATAAGAGGGAATCTTGTTAAGTGGGACAGATATTGCCCGTCCCCTGGAGTTCTTTATCATACTGGGACATTCTCTTAACAGGGTCATTCGCCAAGTGGGACAGATTTTTCGGGTCCCGTTGGAGCCAATGAATATACTGTGACTTTAACCGCTCTACTCATACTGAATCATTTTCCATTTTATAGGGAACACCCGTTAGCGCCGTGGCGATAAACGAAGATCCTCATCGTGTAGCGCCTTCAACCGCCACCTCTCCACGCAAGACGGATGCACTTCTAGCCGGACAGTTTTCAAATACGGACACACGACCGCCGAGTGAACTGACTGTTGTTAGTCCATCGATGATATCACGATCAATGTCAAACGAAATAGGAAGCACAGTAACGGACCAACCAATCAGCGATGAATTACATCCTCAGTCACGTGACCAAATTCGCTCGCCTCCACCCGTCGTTATTATGGGTGACAGTATGGACGAATCAAGAGACTTGACGCAGATTAAATCTGCAGAGACGGACGTTAGCATTACAAAGAAACTAAGGACCTTGTCGCATAGCTGAAAGCTTGTTGTATTTTGTCCAATTTTGTTTCATTTCACCCACATTTTTGTTCTTCTTTTTGCTTTTGTACAGTCGCAATAATTTCCCCAAAGGGTAGCTTTTCACTTCCTTTGTCTGATTTTAGTTTCCCTTGCTATGACATATTATGTTAATTTATGTCATATGTATGTCCATATATGGCGCCTTTTACATCTCGATGTCTTCTCACACTGCAAAACCTGTTGTTTGCAGTCAACGGTTTACTGACGGGACATAGTGCCTAAAATATTCCATTATATTGGAGTTCTAGACGTTATATGCCTGCAATAGATTTTATCTACTATTTCCTAAAGGCATCACTTACTTCGTTTGATTTTTCACATACCATTTAGTATCCCTCGTAAATTTCAACCCTAATCTCATTCATTGATCAATTGATCTCATTGATCAACTCTCATCTTTAGCAGAACTTAAGGGTTCCATTCATGTTTATGAAATTAGTTAGCCCTTCCTAAACATCTTGAATGAAATTTTCATTCCATACTAAAACTTTTCTCAATTTTTCAATTTATTTTTTCTTCATCTGTCTTTTTTTTACATGTTCACTTTATGGTCGTTTAGCTGTAAACCTTGTAAAGTTATATTTTTAGATAATTTTTCCTCGTCGTTTTTCTCTAAATGTGTTTTGAACTGTTTTTGTAGTTTCAGATTATACAATATTATGGTTTTAAAAATCCGACTTTTATCCTTATCAGCTTCCATTTCTTACGTTCAACTTTTTGTATGTACCGGTTTTGAATTATTTTGCTTTTTAAATCGATGGGAAATTGAGAAGATACTAAAAGCAAAATATTTTTCCATTCTTAAAGACCTTGTCCAGTCATTTTCATTGAAAACTGAATGGTTGGTTTCGTTAAAGTGCTGTCAGACTTTGTGTCCAGGACTCTTCGCCTTGCAAAAACTATCAACATTCAAGCAAGCAGAGGGCCAAGCCATTTGTCTATTTTAAAGCCATATCCCATAAGAGATGGAGAACTTCTTCCCTTGGGAATGGTTTCTACGCTGTTTTTACATTCAAGCCGGAGTTTGTTTTGTGCTCTCCAATCCAAGTGATGCACAGGCGTAAAGGCCTATTACTTTCGCAATACTATCGCTTCAGCAGGGCAAAAATGAAAACGATGAAGATTTGCTAGTATAATAAAGAGAGAAAAATAGAGTTGAGAACAAAATGTAAAGAAGGTTGAATCCAAGGAAAAGAGTAAGTAAACGTGCGTTAAGCTCTGTTTTTTTGCAAAATTTCGCTCAATTTTGTATCTACATTTTTTACACGTGCTCTAAGCCTAAATTATTATAAGCAATACCTAAATTGTATTTCGTTTACTGTGAATTACGTAGGTCATATTGATCACCTAAACAGAATCTCGTTGAAATAGATAACCTTTTGAGAATGTTTTCTCAGTGTTTGTTTGGCACCAAACAAAAAGCAAACCAGAAGACAGAGAGATGTCAAGGCTCCTTGACTGGACTCTCATTTGCCAAACATGAAGGAGCCTGAGCTACTTATTGTTTCACAAATTGCTCAAAATCTGTAGTTTTGCAGTCTGTTTATTCATATTTCTGGGTCCCTTGAAAAGTGCGGTTAGGCCATTAGGTGAATAATTTGCTCTATTATATGCTTTGTTAAGATGTTAAAAGTTATTAAACATGGGCAGAGTGTGGAGGGCGGAGTCTTTTTCTCCAAAACGAGAAATACCATGTACTTTACTCCCTAGTGGATCCCATTAAAGCCTGAATGGCTAAGAGGCTTCTTGACTGCCTCCATACCACAGATTTTTTCTTTCTTCTGCCTAAACATGGCCTAAATAGATCCCTTTTCCCCTTCCTTCTTTATCGTAAAGAATTTGAATTATTAATCAAAGATAGGATCGTATTCTGACCTGCAGGGTATAGGAACAGCCTACTTTGGGTGTTTACGGGTAATAACCTGGAATCAGGTCGAACGGAGGCGGACAGCCTGAAAATCCACCGCATCGGTTGTTTGCGATATCCTTTAATGCCACCGACGACGTGAACGTGGTTGAGCTTAAGCGAAAGTGGTTTGGCCTAGATTAAAATATATCTTTCAAGATAAGATATGCCATTTTTATCGCAATGTAAAGCCAACGCTCAACACAAACTAGTTTGCTGAATCCGCGTAAAAGCAAACATTCAAATTGGGATATCACATGTGACATGTTGCTCTTGTCATATTCTTGAGAGAAAAGGACAGCTAAAGCGTCTATTTGAACTCTTTCCAGGGTTTGATTGGCTAGATTCTGTCGAGTCATTCATTTCATTGGCTGCCCTCCCCGATTGCTATCATACTGGAAAATGCCGAAAAAAGTGCTTATATTTTAAGCATTCTAAAAGAAAGGCTTAACATAAACCCACAGACAATAAGTGTGATTATTCAAGAATTTCTTGTGATGAAGAATCTAATTCTTTAGGATTCTCACAGGAAATACGAGAATAAATCTTCGACATTCTTGGAGCTTGCCCTCATATTTGAGCCAAATATGTTCGCAAACAAATTCGAAACAAACATGCCACAATGGTATTACGTCAACTAAAACGACCTTCTCGGTGCCTTGGTACCTTTTCAGGGACGGATTTAGGCAACAATGATTTGGTTCCTGATTTTATTGCAGATTTGCACTTTTCTCAGATACCAACTATCTGAGCATTTGGGGAGGGGCGGCTGCCTCCCTCGCTAATAAGTTCTCTTTTTCAAATTTTGGCTGTAAAGGTATTTGAGCTAGAAAAGCATTGATCAAAAGCATGAGCCTTGAGGGAACCCAAATTTTTATACCCTTATCCACAGAGAAGTGCGCTGTGAAATTAAAAGTTTGTGAAGGCAGAATGAATTGTTTTTTCTTTCATGAATGATTATGTTGGATATTTTTCTGTTCTAGTTGAAAGTTTCGTCACTGTATCAATTCTGATCGAAAATGTCAAATTGTCAACAAATTTTGATCATTTGATTTCAGTAGATGGACCTAGTTTGTCTGCTGTCACATTTCTTAAGCCTCTATACCAAAAGGTGATTTGATTTTTTAAGTTCTATTTAACCGATATGCATGGGGTCCATCAGATGTGAATGCAAGCTTTTTATCTAGGTGCCCAGAACTCAGCCGGCTTCTAACATAAATTACAAGCTTACAAGCATTGCTACATGGAAGAGATGAGATTTTTATAAGTTGGTCATAGTCTTTTCGAAATCTTAAAACAAACTGCTTGTTAACCATTGTTCTCCGATGTTGCCCTTTCTTCTCCCCCTTAACCATAATCAACGAGGTGTAGGACTGCCTCTCTACCGTAAAGCCCGTAAACAGTAGTTTTGTACCTCGGATGTGGGCTAGATTGAGCAATAAAATTGTGGTTTGGAACGCGGATAAAATTCTTTCAAAACAGCTTCTAAGATTTGAAAATGATTGCAAATTTGTACTTTAGCAACACACTATTCAATGTTCTTATTTCTTTAAATTCTAGGCTCAAGTATTCTTGATGTTGTTCTTATTTCAAAACTGGCTTTTCTATAACTAAAATTTATGAATCCTTTCAAAGACTTCGACGTTCTTATAAAGCGTGTTCTTATAAAAAGGAATGTTTGTCAAATGCCTCTTATTGTAAATGAATAGTAACTTGCATCTTTTTAACCACACTGTCATGTCTATATCAATTTTCAGAAACTTGATGGATCGAACACTGAAAATTGCTAATATGATCCTTGATCCCTTTTTTCAAGAAACTTGAGGAAAGATTATCACATTCAATAGCAGGTATTATCTTAATTCGAAGCACTTGGTGGATCTTTTGCAAGCAGTCCCTGCAAATTTAAACCAAAATCGCTGATTTCCCCACTAGTTAAAGTAGCACTTGCGTGCAGGACAGCTTATTCTTGTAGTTTTAAGAGGCTTTGAGTCGATCCTATTTGCTAATAGATGCCGCAAATTAATTATGATAGACAACATTTCACTAGTGACTTTGATTATCTCAGATTATTAATGATTTGCATAATGTGTCATAGCATGCAAAATGTTTTTGTAGGATTTTCTTAAAAAATCACATAAAACGTTAGTGTAGTTAATAGGAGTAGCTGCATTAATCTCTTTGCTGGCGACAAACAACCTCGCTGCAGATGTGTTGTCTACCAAGCACACGGCAGCACCTGGCCTCGAACTCACGTGGCAACGAAATACGTTTGTTCCAAGGATTTGATGTGTCAGCTTGTTGTTGATGAGTTAACTGAGCAAAGAGTCCTGCCCTGTTTATGTGCTTTTTGTAACACTTGACAAGAGACAGCGAATATTTTTTTTTACATTCTTGAACATGACGCACTTGTTTTCTACAAAATATTACAAAATGTTACCATTTATTAGCATATGTGAAAAATGGTTTTTTCCTTTCTTAGAAAACATTTGTTGACAGAAAATTCAAAACTTAAATGTGCAGTTCCACTGAAGAGAATTGACATTTTTCAAGAAATTGCTTTTAACCCCGAAATACCACAACCATTGGAAAGCAATTGAAAGACCGACAACATAAATGCAAAAATAGCTTACATCCGAAATATATCTAGAATTGTGCAGCCTTTGGAGGGAAAATGACTAAGAATAACAAAATTTCTTCAAAGCGACCTAGTTTTAAAATATGCTTTTTGTGCTTTTGGTAACAATTTTTTTTACATAAATCAAAATTTCTAGCTTTTAATATAAAGTCTCGCGATGATTAAGTAAACTAAATAAATGATTATGTCAAGTAATTTAGACTTGAATTAAGAGCTAAAAAGCTTTCCACCCACCACTGCTAAAAGCTCAAACTTGCGTTACTGCAAGCTTTACGTCACTCACCTCAAGAGTTTGAAATGAACTTGGGAATGAACTGAAACTTCGTTCCAGTGGCGTAACGCAGTTTAGGGCACTTTTGTTTGAAGGGCCCCAATTCAAAAGCACCTCCTGAATGTGTTCTTATAACCAGCTTCATATAGACAACTATGGTTGCTCAAGTTAACCGTGTTTTCAACAACTTTAACACTTGTTCAATTGAAGCATATCACCTAGCTAGTTAAGCTAGTTAACTAATCTTTTTTACACCTTGCTAGACTTTTGGATGCTATACACCAAAAAATGGGACCTTCTTGCACTTCATAGATAGGGTCCCTTTTAGTTTTGCATCCAAGAGTCCTCGGCCCCCTTGTTACACCATTGAGTTTTTCTCAAACTGTTTATTGCGCCGTTTACGCAGAATAATCGAAACATAAATAAATCTTGGCCCAATTTTCGCGACCTTAAGATCTTATGGTTTTCCAAGTTAATGAACTCAAAAAGCAACACTTGTCTCATTTAATGCTTTATGTTATCCGCATGAATTGTTATTACGCCATTTAAAATGAACTACGCAAATCAGCAGAAGCCTTGAAAAAATTGACTACATGGTGGCTTCTGCTTTATGAGCCCTGCCTCCATCTATAAATGACAGTTACATCTAGAATACTAGTGCAACTGCTACTGCAAGTGTTTAAAATCATACAGAAATAGCTTATGTAGATGTTATTTTTAGGTCCCTTGCTCGATACATCATTTATTCATATGGTTTCTCTATTAGCAGTTTACTTAGGCGTGCCTGAGAGAGCATGACCCAGGAGTTATTGATCTTTAATTCGCTATGAGCCTGACGCTTGCATTAACCGCCTAGACTAACTTTATCTATTGCGAACAAGAACTAAAAGGATGCCGATTGTAGATATCGGAGATATTACATTAATATTCATGTTGTTAAGTGTAAGAAAAGACGTATGGTCTAAGAATTTAATTGACAAATGAGAAAATTTTCAAAGAATGATGTTTAACCAATGTTTTTCTTTGTTTCTTCCATGTCACACTTTCATCGATCATTCAGAGATAAGGCTTAAAATGATAAACGTGAACAGCCTCTTTCTGAAAACAATGGGTGATAATGTAAGCTGTGTGATTTGGATCATCTTCGTGATACTGCATTCGCAAACGTAAACGCATCCTCCACGCAAAGTTTTCCACGCAAAGTAGAGAGTATAATCTACCAAGGTTATAGCTTCATTTTAGTACAAAGAAGGGGGATAAAAGGTCCCCATGATAAGTTAAAGAGGGTTATAGCAACTTACAGTAGGGTTAATTTTAAAAATAAGCAAATGTTCAGCCATAATAAACAAATACATGCGACATTCTATGAATTACATTGGGAGGTTGGTAGAGGATAGAATTTTCAAATGCAAGGAGGGCGAATATGGGAAAATTTCAAAACAAATGCAAAATCAGAAAATTATTTCGATAAATGCCGGTTCTGGAGAACAAATGTTCTCTTAGACAGACAATCACCTACCTCCCTTACAAATCTTTTTTAATAAAACGATTTTGGTTTCAATAACTCTAGTTTATACTTTTAATGATTTGTAGCAAAGAACTATTTGTACATTTTGTGAAGCAAGCTCTTCCCAATCTACATCAGCACAAATATTATCGTTCTCGGTTTTTCAGCAAAAGGTATGCATATTCCTCAAAAGCTTTAATACCAAATAAAATTATTTGCTAAAAAGTATCAATGAAGCTGTTTTGCATCTGTTGATATTAGATTTATCAGGAAGGAACCGACAGTGAGAGACAGGTAAAATAGATAAGAAGAAGCAGAAGAAGAATCTTAGAAACAAATACCAACTTCTGGCTGTTGGAGCAATGCACTTGAGTAAAATAAAAAAAAATATTTTTAAAAAATTGACTTTGAAGAGAAAGACTGAAAAGATTATAGAATGATGTTGGAGTTGCCATCTTTGTCTGACCTGATTCATTATTTGATTCAAGCAGAAAACCTGGCTGTAGAAAACATAATGTAATAAGGGCATGCTGCTTTGAAAAAATTAAGTTCTTACTTTGTTCCAGCACGTTGCACCTTAGGGGGATAATTTGTGTTACTGAGGGTGTAATCAGATAAAACGGATAACAAGTTTATATAAAAAAGGATTCAGAGAGCTATTGATGGCAGCGGACAAAACCCAAACACTAGTGGAAAAGGCGTAAGGACAGTTAAAAAAGCTGGCCTTTTTTCAAAGGAACTACTTCCTTTCACCCGAGTATTCGACCATCCTTGGATACGAGTTACAGGAAAGGTTTGAGATATAAAGTGTTGGCAAAATCACTTGTACTTCGAAACTATTGCTTTATTTGGGATCTTACCAACAGTACATTTCTGGATTTTCAAGGGCAATGGCAAAAGATATTTCTTATTTACCATTTTATTTCCCCTGTAAGAATCGTAATATAAAGCTCTAGCAACCAACAATTGATCATCTATATTTTAACAAAAAAATTAGACAATCCCTAACCTTTAGTTATTTATTTGGTCCTTTCCTCCTCAAACACATGTTTCTTGATTCTTTGCTACTACTGTGTAAGCTTACTACTGTGAAAACATGAACATGTTAGCTCAAATCAAAGATGTTCATCAGAGAAGGAAGCGAGTGATTATTGCTGATAGAGTAGCGTCTTGAAATTGGCTGTTTATGTGCTCTTTTGAGAGTTCTAAATATGAACATTTCATTAAAGTCCTATAAATTTTCCTTCAGATAAAATGAAATTACAGTTCAGGTCTTTAGAACCAAAGCTTTTAGCTGATAGCTTTTTTAGCTATTCAAGTTGGCTAATTAAAGTTTTTCTCTTTTTTTCCTGTAACATTATAAGAAAATTTAAATCTCGAATTGATTATGGTTGAGGTTGGGGAAAAAAACATAACGTTATCGAATTGCCTCAACAGCCAACATTACAAATACTCTTATGCTTTATAAAATTTACTATAAATACACAATAAGGCACAGTACAGTATAATACAGCATAAAATGCAAACTATGGATACGTCATTGTGGCTGATCCCAAAGAGTTCTAAAGTGTGACGTTATCAAAAACCTATTTCTAGAATTTTTGAATCTTAAGCATATGCAATTAAAGATCACCATGAAATACTTTCAAACATGCAAATAGGCCATATATGTCTAAAATCTAAAATATATGGCCACATATGTCTAAAATTGGTTGAGATATTGCCAATGAGAGATTCAAAGCTTGCTAACGAATCACTGTTATTTTGGCTCTGTTCATAAATTTATGAACAGAGACCAAAATACAGAGGTTTGATGGAAAGGAGGCAATACACCTGTGACCATATCACAGCTAATTCGTAAAACACTTGACTGATTTTGCATATTTAAAGGTATTTCATGATGCTTTAAAGTTATATTTTTGTGACGTCATCAATATAGAACTATATATCTTTCTTTTTTAAAGACGAGCGAGAACAGATGAAATACAAAAATCTTAAGTTACCTGGGACGAGGATGACATCAGTTACAAAAAGACTAAATAGTTAAAATCCATTCGATTGATGTTTCTTTTTTAACCCCCCTCCCCCAGACGTCTTCAAAATGTTTCGTGATGAATGAAAAATATTTCGCTATTTTTTTTGGTTGGTGATGTTAGGGAAAGGCCAGCAGCTTATATCAAACCCCTATCAGGGAAAAAGGGATGGAGTTAGAAGGGAGGGCGTAATTATCAAGCTTACCGATTTTAGTTTCGAATAAAGACAGGTTGTAAGAATCTAAAAAGCAGGAAAGTGGTTGAGCATTCTAAAGATAACATCCAAATTCTATCGATTTAACATTCGAAAATTTCAATTTCATAGACCAACTGAAGGAATGAATTCAGTTATGGAGCATTAACAGGCGAAGAATTCCCAGCTGAAGCAGCCAATTGTAGCCTACTGACAAACGGGTAAGTTAGATTAAAGCTTTCAAATGTATAATGTTAATAGTAAGTCTTGCCAATATCATTGATTAGCGTTCAATAGCATGTCATGAATGTGGAAACCGTCTGGGAAAGGTTTACCTCGGATGTTTTGATGATATAGGGAATAAGATTTGGTTTATCAGGATGGATGCTTGATGCAAAATTGAGGTTTATCATTTGTACGGCATTATAACCGTTCTCCTTTTCGGTATTTCTGCCAATTCAATTTTTTTCAATTCAATTTCATTGAAAAATATATAGAATATAGAATAAAATTAAATTAACATAACATTACAACATAGAACTGAAACATAGAACATTACAAGACATTATGTATTTAAATATATTTGTCTAAGGAGGAGCTCTCTAATAGATGAACTAATCGAGAGAGCCCCCCCCCCCATCTAAAACTGAAAAGGTGTTAGCTCCCTCATTAAACATGGGTAGTGGAAACAAATAAGAAGGGTACAACAAATGTTTAGATTATCCAAATGCACGTGTGTGGCTTGAGAGCTATATGACCTTAATAGTTCATTTTCTTAAATGGCAGTATCACATGGAAGCATTTAACTGTCCATTTGCCATTAGATATTTGACATTTTGCCATAGGTTGTTAAAAGATACTATAATTAATATATGAGTAGTGATTTGAATAACTTGAGACATCAGCGCATTGGATTAATTTGTAGCCAACAAAATCCTAAAAGATTTATACCGGGATTAGAAACTAGGGCGAAGCTCAAAGAAAAAAATCTGGCCAGATGTACCTCTGAAGCAATCGTTGTACCATACTGCATTCAGTGCAAGGATTTGTTTTAGGTATTGATCTGAAAATAAAGCTGAATTCATTGTTGCTGAACTTCATAAAGCATGAAAAGTGAATAAACTGAGTAAGTGCAAGAATTCAACTTCAAGACCATGATACAACAGAGCTATTTGAAATGAATTTGAGCCCTGAGTGCGCCATAAATCTCGCAAATGGACAAAAGTTTTCTCGCAACTGAATAAAAGAAGCAGCTTAATATGCCAATGTTTTCATAGCTTTGTGGAATTTCAAATACTTTGATACTTTCATGGGCAAATAGGCCAATATACAATAGAGAGGCGTGTTCAATAAAAGGCGATTGAAAATAACAGATGAATCAAGGCATGGTCGGTGGACTTCATATAAACAAATCCGACTACTTTGGAGAATTAAAACCTAAATAGGACTTAGTAGTTTGGGATTTTCCAAGCACTTAGTCGTTCGGACAGTTACTGGACAGGCTCAATATCTATAAATATGATACATCATTTTATGATTGTCGCAGCCAGGCTCTTTCTTGGTCAGTGGCCATAGAATATTGGAAATAAATTTTCTATTTTGCCACGCAAAAGCTTCCTATCAAGGAAGTTGCTTCTACCGTTGCAATTTACTACATTTGATCAATATTTTTGAAAAAAAAGAGAGCCCATCTCTCTGTTTGCACCATTCTATCATAACAATGTATTCTACGGACTCATTTTTTTGAAAATACCTTATTTTTTTGTTAAAGTTTTAAATCAAATTAACCTATTACTTTATAACAAATATTTATCCTGTTGTTATCGGGAAAGACTTTACACATCACCCTTTATACTCACGCCCATTGAAAGTTGTCAGCTTTGAAAATTTATCTAAATCCTGCTTGTTTGCGTGAATAATGGCTCCAAGTTTGATAGTATTGGTCGTATCAAACATATGTTATTGCTCAAATATCACCCATAAATCGACAGAAAGCATTTTATTTTCTAATGGCAGCCTTGCTTCAAATCTGAAAATCATACTTAGTTATTTATTTAAAAATTCGTTGTTTAACCTTTAATACGTTTTTCTTGGAGTTCAAATGTGAAGTACTTTGTTAAACCAATGTACGTGTGAAACCATGGCTACGAGATACATACTTATATATATATTGATGAAGCGGGTATAAGCCAAAACAGATCTTTGAGGGACTCTTTTTGTTCTGAAAGCATTCTGTGAGAAAATTTGTAGATAGTTCTTTTCATCTCATGCAACGGAACATGCACGTTGTAAACAAAATATTCTCCCTTCCTGCTGCCAAGACCTCAGCCACCCTTCCTTTAAAAAAAAACGAAAAATAACTCTTTGTAGATACATAAAGTACTTCATAGTTCAATGGAACTAAGACGTGCATCCTCAATATAAAATAAAGTACATATCATATTATATCTTATGTATAATGATTTCCTTAAGAAAGCAAAAAAACAATTTGTTTTGGGAATGATAGGACGCAAAGCCGTTTAATGAAAAAGCGTCCACTGACAATTTGCTTGCTTGAATTAGTAGCTTCTAGCCAAATTCTAAATCTTAATTGAAATTAATCAAATTAAATGTACTGACATTCTTTGTACGATGTTACACTCCTTTTGTGAATGCTATAACTCAGCTTAGTACTGCAAAACAGAACAAAGATTTCCTTTATTGTGGTTTCGAGGAAGAGCTGAGTGACCACGTGACAAGAGAAGTTTCTTACCTATCACAAAATCCGCGTATAATAAACGCTTTCAAAAATATTTTGCCACAAATTTTTAATTCATGAAAGGGAGTGTGGCAGAAATCGGTTAGCTTTCTTTTTTCTCCTATTTTTATTTTATCGAGGGAGAAAATCGTGTGAATTTTCAAAAGCTGCGGACCCAAAAACATGGCAGTCACATAATCAATGATGACGATGATGAAGGGCAATAAAAAGAAAAAAGCAAAAGTGCTACACTCAAACCACGCCTTGTTATAAACAGCTTAACAGTATTGTTCGGATGAAGATTGACACTTTTCTGCTCTCTGAGAAATTTATAAAACCTTTTTTCATACTTTATCTTGAAAGAAATTAAAGGTTATAGATTTAAGAATCTCTTTTCAGTGTGTCCATTTATCTGGGCCTCAATACAGCTCAATCTTTCTACCCTCTACATAAAAAATTGAGCAGTATTATTCATTTCTTAGGCTTTTTCTTTCTTTGTCGCTATCTGCTGATGTCCTTGTGTCTCTACTGTATGCAGCCTATGGTCGATACTTTGTTGTAAGACTTGGCAAAGGGAACTATGAACCGCTAAGTAAGAATGGAATATAATTGGATTGTTTCGACGATTTCGCACGCGACCTCAGTCATATCTTATGACAATCACTTTACATGTTACCCAGACTACATTTCTCGCAATCCTCGATTCTAATTGGCCATCTCCCTGACTTATAGTGGCGTCGTATTTTGTCTGATCGTGGCTCTATCCGTCTGCAAATTAAATCAGCGGACAATGCTTGTGTAATTGAACCATCAGTAGACGGAGCATCGTGTTAAAAAACTGAGTGTAATGAAATGATGTAAACAGTTAAATAGTCTGTTTGGTGAGTCCAACGCTGTCTCCGGTACGTTGCAAAACTCAAGGCTCTTCGACCCGAGTAACATACATGGCCAAAGTTTTATGGACGTTTTCTCTGAAGAAAGCAACCTACTAAGCAGTTACTATTAAATTCGGCGATAACCTCTTCATTGGACCTCAAAGACAGCGTAGAAGAGGATTTCATCACCCTTAATTTGATGGTTTACATTTAATTCCTGACACATGTTTGCTAAAGATTGATACGAACTAAGACCGTAGCTTGTTCCCCGTGCAGTACTTCATTTAGAACGTCTTGAACTACGGGAACGGAGTTGCCATCAAAGAAGAAGTTATTCTGGTGTAAAAGTAGGGAGCGTTACATTCACAAATCTAACGAAAAGCCATTATCAGGAACTTTTTGACTACAACGAACTGACGCTGGTTTCAACGAGAAATAAAGAAGAATATTTTGTCTACCAGTTGCTTAACGGCAAATTGTACTATATTCTTGGATTAAAACAATTACTACAATTTCAACCCTTGTTTTAGGTTAAAGAAGTTCTTTGCGAATGAACATACTTGATTAAACGAGTTGTTTAGGGTTTGGATAAGTTAAATCAAGTTTGATTTCTCTCAGAAAGTTGCATTTTATCATCAGCTGAATAATTCATTAATGCGAGACAGACAAGTAAAGAAGACAGCACAACGATAAAAATAATAAAATAACTGAAGACAACCTTTCTTGAAGCGACAGTTTTATCAATCTCACAACAAAAATTTTTCGAATAGAAGTTTTAAGCAGGAAAGTCAAGTTTTTAGAACCATGTACCCAATGTCCAACATGCATCATTTGCCAACAAGAGACTTGAGTTCCTGCCGCTACAGTTGCCACAGCTATGCTCATACGTTACAATATTTTCCAAATGGGATGCCTTACGATCCTCAAGAGGCTCATGGAAGGCCCCAGGGGATGCAAGATGGTGTTGATTTTGAATACCCTTCCTACCCTCAAAGATCTGACAACTATCAATCCATGGAGTATCATGATAACAGTCTCAAATATTCAACAACAGCTACGAGCAACTGGAAGAAAGGCTCATCAGGCAAAAATGGCCAGCAAAGACGTTGTTGGAACACAGCAAACTTTCAGTGGATGAATATAAAAAGGGAGAGAAAATCATCAGGATCCTCAGAGAATGGTAATGTATTTTTTTTATTCACACCAAAAAAATCGAAAAATCACTCAATTCTTAAGCTTTCATAACTGAATTGAAAAAGTTATCTGTCAGGACGTATTAATTTATTAGATTTATAATGCTGTCTTAAAATTGCTTAAAATGACTTTAACTAAAATCCCTCACAAATTGCAATACATCATGCAGGGATTTCAGCAAACTTAAGCCATTTATATTACATTTTTCAAAATGACATACGTCCTCACACTGACGCTCACTCAATCAAATTATCTTAAACTACAGTTACATTTTCAGTGAAAATGACAGGCCTTATTTCCTTTATTAGCTGACTCCTTCAGATAGACAGGATGGTCAAACTATCAAGCCGAACGACTTTTTCTCAGCATCTAACAGAAATTTTCAAAAACCATCAGCATGGCTTTTAGGATACTTGAAACCCAAGAGTCTTCAAATAAAAGAAGCAACTAAAGAATTTGGACAAAAATGATTAATACTACAAAATATTGATACTCCTCTTAGTAATGCTATAGCAATTGGAAGTGGTGTAACTTACCACCCACTTTTTCTACATCAACTATCTGCTAGCCATAAGGTACTTTCATCATTTCTGCAAACCTTTTTTGTAAGAAATAGAAACATTTTGCATCATCAACGAAATTCATTTCTATGGATTGTCTCATAATAGTACAATTTTTGTCATCTTGAGACAGGAATGAAGTTTTCTTTGCAGCTAGAACACATTCTAGACTTTGCTACTAGTGTGATGGGAATAGGCGAACCTTGGAGATTCAATTAGGATTCGTTTTCTGACGCTATTTTCATTGATAGACCGATTTCTTGACATGTCAAGGGTCCCTTTCAATAGTTTTTACTCTATCTTAACAGTCAATTCTTCATGATTTCATTTGTTGGCTCTTTATCAGCCTTAATTTCTAGGCCAAAGCATTGTTAATTACGTAATGCACAAGTTTTACAGTAGTATTGAAAACGGGAATACTCCAAATGCACCCTGCAATCAAAATATCATTGAAAAGTTAGGTGAGGCATTGGTATGTTTTGAAGCTGACAAGGCAATGTCTGAAAATGTGTTGTCCATCTAAGTCTCTTTCTCAAATTCTATCATACCTTCCTTTTACTTTTACAAGCCAATCTTGACACAATGCTCATCAACATTCAAAATTGCAATGTTTTTAGCACATTAAATCTAGAAAAGCCTTTTACCATTGAAATTTGAAGTCTTCGTGCAAAGAAATTTCGTGTGATTTCGTATAGAGAAATTCCAAAGTGTCGTCTTTATGATTTAACAGCCTTTGCTAAATATATATTGATGATTTTCTTAAAAGAGTAGCTTCGGTATTGTCCAGTAAACAAGTGCTATGAGATGCATAAGCCTTTGTCATATATTAAGGGAGCCATTTCTCCTTCTTTAAAAACAAGTAAACACAGTTCCTCAGTAGTTGAAAGGATAGAGTTTATTGTCTTTAGTTTCTCACCAGGTTTTTTCCTGAGGGTTTAATGCACCGGCAGCACAAGCAGTAGATATAACTGTATTCAATAAACATCTGCATTAAGACATTTCAAAATCTCATAAAGCATTTCTCGACAGCAGCATTACACGATATGTATTTAGAAACTGGAGCACGAGGGTAGGAAAGGTTTCTTACTTTCCATTTAGAGGAAAGATTTCTTATCCTAGCATGGATAAGAACGGAGATATAAAGTAGCCTTGATGAGAACGGGGATGATAAACTTTCAGTCACATTCTAACGGTAGTTCAAGCCAATTGATTTCTTCGGTGAAAGTTTATATTCTAGATTTTGGTAGTGCTTCGTTGCAGAATTTTCAGAAAGGTTGCGCCCACTGTTTGCCTTACCCTTGGCTAACTTCAGTCTTGTCAACCCTGCAATAATTTAGTGGATTTCACCCTAGACATAAAACAGCAGCTAAAGGAATACGGAGGATCTGGAAAACTTTGCTCAAGCATTTGATCTCTTTGGTAAAATTAGAAACGTCCGTTTTGGAAACCTTTTGTTGATTTGGTATAAAAATATCTGAATTAACCCCTTCATAATAAGTAAGTCGAGGAAAGGGAAAATGGTATAAGAAGAAATTAGCTACAAAAATGGTTTTATCTTAATTCATTTTATCAGTGTAAAAAGAAGCAGATGCGGTTTTCGAAAGTTGTGCATGCCATAAATTAGTATGAATTCGTCCTGTTGCAAGCATGCTCGATACACGTCATCTGTGAGCTAAAAATCTTACGCATGTTCCTTCGAATCTTCCTTCGAATCTTCCTTCGAATGAACTATCCTTTTGTTTGTGGGGCTCTGCACTCCACGATGGACTTGCCATCCTCTTTAATCGCTGAAACTTTCGATTAAATGTAATTCTTATTAGTCTGGGTCTGGTCCATGATGTTTTATTGTTTTCTTTCTTTATCCAAAGTTTCCTCGAAATTTCCTCTTTATCACTAAACATAATATAATTTTAGAAATGTTTTACACTTCAACTCTTAAATCAAAGACATTTTTTGTTTTTCATTAATTTCAGGCAACACGAAGCGAAATTTCTTGCTCAAATTTATGCTCTAATGAATAGACTATAGATTTTGTCGTGTAGGATTGCTTCACAACTTTTCATTAAAAGAGGAAAATTGACAGAAATATTGGAAAAAATGCTCTATTTTGAAGCATTCAATACTGATAAAATTCGCCCAAGATTGCCCAAGAATCTAAAAGCAATATTTGACTTTTTTGTACACAAAAAAATTGGTAGGAGTTAGAGACATGTACATCGATACCGAAATGGGTACTTCGGGACCTTGCCATTTTGTGTTTAATTCCATGAGCTAACATCCTTTGATTTGAAGCCAAATGGCTGGGTTTGTGCAATATGGCTGTTTATACCTTTTATAAATGGCAAAAATTCGTGAGATTTCAAAGTAATTAAGCCAGTTAGAAAAGAAGAGGCACATTGAAGACACGCTATTCATACAATGCCGCAAGCAGACACTTTGTGAAATTTTCCTCAAAAGGCGATTTGTTTATAGGACATAAAAAATGATATACATGAATTCATAAATTTTAATAACAACAGTAACGAGCTTCCCAAAATTTGATGGCTTTTTGTACCGGGTAATATTTGTCTTGGTAATTTTCCAATTGTACCAAATCATTCGAAGTATATTCAAAAAAGATGGAGAACGCTAAGTTAATTTTTTGTACATTTGATCATATCTGGACTCAAATTTTGATGAAATCTGGACTCAAACTGGAATTAATCTATGCTCCTTTGAACCATATTTTTCTGGGGGTGTTTTGACCATGTACCCCTAGACACTGTGACGCCATTAAACAAACATGTTAGCCTGAGTACCAGAGGCGGACTGGTGGGTTCTTGGGCCTTCGGCCTATGAGCTTGATAGGCTTCATGCGGGTGACAAAGGGCTGATAAAAAATGAAGCAAATATGAAACACTGCAATACGCCGAGAATAAACAACAATAAATACACGTAAATCAGTAAAGGCTAATATTTCGCCCCGGCATACGGGGCTTCATCAGAGCAAAAATTTTTGCTACATTTTTATCGACTTTTCGCCGCAAGAACTCCTTGGAGCCCGTCGAGCAGCCTGCTACAGTGGCCTTTTCTTCATTCATACAAAAAAAATGAAGCCAGGTCCGTCTGTAGCACTCAAGCCCTCAATCCACACCCGATGTGCCTGACCAGCCAGTCTTCTCGTGCTGAATATAGGTCTATTTTGATCCTTTCCTCACTCAGTCTATCGTTGCCCTCTATAAAATTACAGTCGAGATGTGAAGTATTTGCCGTATGGAGTTGAAATGGAAAGCTAATTTGCTAAAAACACAAACCTTATCCATGTAATCACAACTTAGGGATCTTGCTCTAAGAAAGGTTCCATGTATTAAGGCTATTGACTACTGTTAATTTACAGATAAAGGTTGATAAAAACATGGCTTGAATACTTTTTAAAATAACACATAAAGCTATTATCACAATTTAAGCATATTATAAGGAGCGAATAGTAATGAAATCTTAGGCCGAAAAACAGTTTCCGACAAAATGACATAGCTTTGATACTTAAAAATAACATAAATTCAATTGAAATAATACTACATCTTTAAATGTTCTTGAAGCGCTTTGCTTTGCAATTTAATTGCACGACATATCATGCCATAGTGTCAAATTGGTCCTTACTTATTTGTAATTTTTTCGTTCACCAAAAAAGCAATAATGTAAATATATTTCGAAACCAAGAACACTTTTCTCTTGCTGGATCCATCTTGAAACGCTTTTAGTGTAATGCCTATTGCCGTAAATGGGCCCAGAAGCCCAAATACCAAAATGTTAGGGGTATACGACAATCCATTTATATAACTAGGAGTTCCAGTCGAGACAGGTGTAGTTGAGGTTCGATAAAACTGGTAACTCAAGTTAGACCTAAGGGGTAACGTACCGTATAAATTGGGTGTAAGCACGATTCTTTCATATGGAATTGATATTTCACAATCCTCTCATTTTTTAGCTTTGATAAAATTTAAAAGGACAGTAGAAATGTATAAACAATTTGGTTCTTCAATAAACATCATTAAATTTGGTTTTTTAATCTCTTGTGGATGAGTCAAGTGGTCTAATTTTTTGAGCCTGATTCCAATACTCCGTTACCAGCCCACTTAGATTATAACTGTTGCAAATCTCTCAATTTTCTGACAAAGCCTGGAGATAATAAGGCCATTTAAGAATAGGTTTTTAATGAGATCTTTAAGGGAGCATTTTTTTATGATTTTTATGATTGTGAGCTTGTCTTGCGGTGGAAACTTTGTCATTGGCAACAAAGACAATAGTTTCCGGTAGCGGTCGCGCTAACTGTATTTGCTCTTTGGCAATCGTTGCCAATCCTTTGTTCCTATCTTGAAGCCTTTTCTCTGTTTCTGTGTTATTGAGACCTGTAAGGATGGTTTTCCGGATTATTTAGAGTACAACT